TGACAGTATCAGCTTCCACGTTAAAGTAGAAGGTAAAATTCAAATAGCCGTTACCTTTTTTTCCTATTATTTGATAGCAAAAATCCACAATACAAAACTCTTTTGCCCTTAGAGCCTCCCGTAAGCATTGTAGGAAACTCATGCGACCCTGATTACCAGGAATTGATGGAAGGTGATGACCTGATATTGGCCTGTGAGTTGTCCCGTGCTAATGCCCCAGTCCAGTGGTACTGTAATGACAGGCTTCTCACCAGCGATTCCCGTACCATTATTGAATGCTATGGAAGTCTGAGAAAACTTATTATTTCAAACATCCAGCCTTCGGATTCTGGAAAGTATGTGTGTGATGCGGTGAATGACAAGATGGTCAACATAATCCGTGTTCAAGGTAAAAACTGCAGATCATAGCTTATTAGGGTCTATAGAAACAGCAAAAATCTCAAAAATAACTGACTTTGTGTCATCTTTCCCAAAAAAGAAACTCCGGTTACTTTTGTCAACAAGGAAGATGACGTGGTTGTGACGGGTTACGAAGTTGAGAGCGTGACTTTAATGAGCTACGTGTCCAAAGAAAGTGCGGTTGTACGCTGGCTTAAAGACTGGACACCAGTTGAAGGTGAACGCTTTCGAGAACTCATTGACGGCCATAAACGGAGTCTTACCATCCAACCTTTAAGGCGGTCTGATGCTGGTGAATACACCTGTGATGTCAACACTGACCAGATGCACTTCAGTCTACTAGTGAAAGGTAACAATCAATACTTCCAAAGAAATACAAAGACAACTTCCTATTAACCAAAAAGCCCAAATATATAAAAGGTTTGTCACCATAGAAATGAGGATAAAATTTGTGCGACCACTCCATGACACCATGGCTCATGCTGACGGCATGGTGACCCTGCACTGCGAGGTGTGCAAACCAAAAGCAGATGTCCAATGGCTTAAGAACGGCGTAGAAGTGGTTGGAAGCAGGAGATTCTCCATTCGAGCAGATGGTGTTGAGAGAAGTTTGACCATCCATCGTTTAACTCATGAGGATGCAGGGCAGTATACCTGTGAATCCAGAGATGATCAGACCTCCGCAACGCTAAGAGTGGAGAGTAAGTATTCAATTTGTGTTTCTGGCTTTTCCATGCGAGTTAGCAGCTTCATTCACTGCCTTCTCACTCTGCAGTGCCTCGAGTTGTTGAGTTTCTCACCGAACTTCACAACACAACTGTGCTAGAAGGAGAAGATGCCACCTTCAAATGTGTTGTTTCTCCTGAGGACGTTTCCTTGATTTGGCTTATGGACAACGAACCAATGACTTTAGGGGACCGCTTCCAAGTCAGTCGAAATGGATTGTGCCACACCTTGGTGATTAAAAAGTGCCAGATGATAGACTGTTCTAGGATCACAGCAGAAGCTGAAGGAAAAGTGAGCAAGGCTAGTCTCAAAGTTCAGGGTAAGACTAAAGGAAATCTATGTATAATGTTAAAGAAGGCTGAATGTGAGTCTGAGTTTTGTTTCTCCTCACGATGTTGTAGAAGCTCAAGTCATGTTCACCAAGAAAATGGAACCCGTGACAGCAGAGGAGTTTGAAGAGGCTACCCTAGAGACAGAAATCAGCCTGGAGACCGGTGAGGTTCAGTGGATGAGGCAAGGGGTGGTCATCCAGTCCGGTCCTCGTCATATCCTGGCCCAGAATGGTTGTAAAAGAAGCCTGACTATCCACAACCTGAACCTGTCAGACCGAGGAACATACCGCTGCGAGACCCTGCATGATCGGACACAGGTCAAACTCAACGTAGAACGTAAGTAGTTATTTTTGAGGTATGGAAATCTAATTACCATTTGTCTTACTAACCTACCTAGCCTTCGGCTAATAAGTCTCCATAAAGAAAAGAAAAAGAAAAGTTTGTTGTAGGATTTTCCTCTCAAATAAAACCGTTACAATAAACAGGATTTATTTGTATTGATATTCACTGCTCTTTTCTGGAAATGGTGTTTCTTCACACATATTGTAGGTGTTTTTTTTTGTGTGTGTGTTTTTTTTTTTTACAGTGTGTCACAGAGCAAAAAGATACTAAGAATACCTCAGCCAGACTTCCAAGTGTGAAAACACAGATGGAATATTATATCAGTGTGCATGGAGCAACACCATCAAAATAAACCCCTGCTGGAAGAGGCATTTTTGTAATCCCAACAATGTCTAAATTTAGACCACATTGTTCATTGTGACACACTAAGTGTCACAGTGAACACGTGTTTGCCAAAAAGTTTGTTCAATTCTCAATGTCAACGTCAAGCTGTTATATTTCCTTGACACAATTCCACAAAACATTGTCCTTCTTCTGCATCCCTGTATTGTTAATCCAGCCCGAAAGATATCCATCTGTAAAGGCCTAACGGATCAAGAGACGTTTGAACGGGAGACTGCCTCCTTTGAGGTGGCGCTCTCCCACACAGATGTGGAAGGCATCTGGCAGAAAGATGGCATCCGCGTGAAGCCAAACAACCAGTTTAGGGTGAGCATCAATGGGCTAGTCCATAGCCTTACCCTGACAAACTTAACTCTGGAGGACACAGGCACCGTCGTCTTCTCGGCCGAAGGAGTGCGATCGACTGCAAGGCTCACAGTTAAAGGTAAATGCAACCTAGAGGGGTCTGGGTTATTATTTTTAGTAGGTCACAACTGCAAAAAGAATTATTTGGAGTTACGATGGTTCGGTGCTGACAGGCTAATCAGATTATATTGATTGACAGAGACACCTGTGGCTATCCTGAAACCGCTGGTTGATGTTCGTGTGGAAGAAGAATTTCCAGTCACTCTTGAGTGTGAATTCTCCCGACAAAATGTTGAAGTCCGATGGCTTAAGGTAAAGAAAAGAAAATGATCAACAACTTGAATCGTTTTTGTATGCAAATAATTCTGTTTTCTTCCCTCTGCAATTTAGAACGGAAACGAGCTGAAGCCAGGGAAGAACCATCGGATCTATTCCATGGGTCGAAAGCGGTTCTGCCAGATCCTTCAATGCTCTGTTGCTGACTCTGGTTCCTATACATGTGACACAGGCGAAATAAGCACCTTCTGCTCTTTGGAAGTCTATGGTATATTGAACTCCAACACTAGAAGCACTTCAGCCTTATTCTTGAACATATTCTTCAATCATTTATAATCAAATGTCGCCATCTAGTGGTCATTCTTTTCAATTTCATCCCTGTCCTCAGAACACAAGTTGGAGATAGTACAGGATCTTGAGGACCTTTACATCCAGGAAGACCAGAATGCTGTGTTTATGTGCGAGGTCTCTGTGGAGGATGTGGCTGGGGAGTGGTACAAGAATGGTCACAAGATCAGATCCAGTAGCACCACAAAGATCCGCACAGAAGGTCAGAAATTAAACCGCAGTTTGACTTTGCCTCTTTTTACCAGCTGAAATGAAAACGTGTCGCCTTCCAGGGCCCAAACACTTCCTGCTGATATGCAACGTTAAAACTGAGGATGCTGGAGAGATCCAGTTTGTAGCAAGGGATGTCAAGTCAACAGCCTACCTTGAGGTAGAAGGTGAGCTATTTTTTTAAAATAACGTCCGACTTCCTTCGTGACACCAACTTTATATTTTCCCCGTTGGAAATCTAAAAAAATTGCAATTTTCAGAGCTCCCAGTTTCCATTGTAAAACCGCTGCGAGACAGAACAGCCCTGGAGAACCACCGAGTGATCCTTGAATGCACCGTTTCCTCCCCGCGCTGCAGTGCAACTTGGTACAAAGGCAAACAGGAACTGGGTTCTTCAGATAGGATGGAGATTATAACAGAAGACTGTTCCCATAAGCTAGTAATCTACCAGGTTGCTGTGGAGGATGAGGGAACTTACAGTATTGAGGTTGGAGAGCATACATCCAAAGCAAAACTGATGGTTGAAGGTAAGCTGCATGAAAAGCAACATACATTTTTGTCAGATTTTCTCTGCTAAAATTTCATCGAATCATTTTGTTCTTTTTCCGTAACACGCTTCAGCCAAGGCTCTTGTGATGGTGAAAGAACTGGAGAATGTCCAGGTAACAGAGCCAGAGTCCGCTTCTTTCCAGTGTGAAGTCTCCGTCGACATCAGCAAACCCCCAGTCTGGACGTTAAATGGAGTGACCCTTCGCTCGTGCCCGGCTGTCCGTCTGGAGGACCACGGGACGGTCCACAAACTCACTCTGAGGGACACAAGCGTGGACATGAGTGGGACGGTCAAGTTCACATTGGGCAAAGCCAAAAGCAGTGCCACATTTACTGTGATTGGAAAGTAGGAGGACTACAAAGTACCTCTTGAAAGCAGAAAGCAAACAGGAATCAAATGGCGAGAGGCCAGTTTGATAAAAACAGATGTCAGTAATTGTACCATTTTTATAATATTTACATTTCAGTATTTTTAGTTGATTTTACAATAAATTATTACATTTCAATGAAAACCAAGCAAAATAAAAGGTGATGGCGCGACTCAATAAGTATCATTTTCTACCAGAAACAAATTCCTAATGTAAATTCAAAATACTGCTGATGTTGAAGCAACTATTCTGTCTTCTTATATCCATATTGGAAAAACTTTGACTGCCTGGCAAAATGAAGCTGAATTTTTTAATCTGGAATTTCAGATGACTCAAGAAATAAGCTTATGTTTGAGAAAGTATTAAAAACTGTTGCCAACGCCCGTTCACCAGCTGAGAAATGAAACTTCCAGCCTTCATATCTATATATATATGTGTGTGTGTCTTTTTAAAGTTATAGAAACTGAAAAGCAGGAAATTCAGTTTCAAGATTGTCCAAACCTTCACCCTTATTTTAAACAATATTGTTAGAATTGCCATTTCGAAAACTACGCTGATGAAACGTTTGGCTCATTCGCCACAAAACTGCCTTCATCGGCCATTTCAGCCACCGTGTTGCTTTTTGTCGGTGTTGTGCAGAACGGTGTGATCCAGAGCTGTAGCTTTCGCTTGTGTTCACAATAAATCTCGACAACTGCAGGCGTCTGGTTGATTTTCAGAATGTATTTGCATTTCGAGGTCGAAGGAAAAGATGGAAAATTTCAGGCGGGAAAACTGTTTCGTCAGAATTCCGTTTTTAAAACACGTTTCTGTGATTCTCTGATCCTCTTGAACAGAAAATGCTTTACAAAGTAGCACTTGGACCATCTTGCAAATTAGCATTTATGGAAGAGAGAGAGAAAGATGGCAATATTACATACAGTCATACATGATTTGGTATGAGAAAACAACAAAAGTCAAAAATTAGGTTACATCTATTGAATCATGAGTACAGTAAAATGAATATTCCATATATATTAATGAAATTTGTTTGCTTTATTACGGTGCAAAACAACATATACATATCTATTAATGTGTAAGAAGTACAGTATCGGCGAATGGGCCCTATAGTGACGCAACACTCAGAAATGTAATCAGATGACTAAACGACTTCATGTTCCTATAAATACGTTGCCAATGAATTGAAAACAACGTCATTTCTGAATCTAACACGCGTGACAACGGCTTACACGGAAAACGCGCTTTAAAACAGTTACCCTGTTATGTGCCTAAAACAGTATCTGTGGGCGGTTCTGATCCATATTCTACCGATATACGAGGTATCCAACCAAAAAAAAGAGCCGATTGGAAAACACACTAAAAATATGATGTCAAATGAGCACTCCTTGGTGAAATAAGAAATAAAAATAGGCAAGTATTCAAAAACAACAAGCTAACTTTGATTGAAAAGTGTTTGTTTTGCTTTCTACATATAAAAATAATTCAATAGCTCTTAATCTCCCTGCCCCGTCTAAAGCCTGCCACCCAGGCTCATAGTCTCACCCGCCGTTTTCATTCATCAGTGTCAATACAGGCCATTGTCATCGCAAACGTGGAACAGCGGATTGCTGGGAGACCGCGTTGCTCTTCAGGAAACTGATCTCCAAGAAACTAAAACTGGACAAAAAGAAAAAAGAAAAAGAAAAAAAAAAAAAGGTACACGTTCCAGCCTTATATCAGCTCTAACTTTGTCAGCAATCGTGTACATAGTGATTTCCTACACTTCCCACAACATCTTTAGCAACGCTCAATAATATGTATATATCAAAAAAAACAAAAAACATAAGGAGTGGGTGTTATTTTCTGTGATTATATTTTCAATTCAGAGAACGTTAACATGGCTGCGCTACATTACCGAGTTAATATTACATCCATTTATGTCCAGAAGATGAAAGAACTTCAGCCAAGTAACAGAACCAATAGTGTTGATTGGCTTCAAGGTGGACTTATCCCCTAAATCTGGACTGAACCAAAGCATTTATCGCGAGAGATGGCTTCACGCTCCCCAAATGAGCATCTTCTGACAACGTCGCACAACTTGCCTCCGGGCTACAAGTACCGCTTTGGGACGTAAATAACTCAAGGCTACTGTTCCGCTACAACAGAGCTTTAAACACAGTCCGCTAAACCAAAGTTAAAAAGAAGACAATCGAAGGTTCATGATTTGTGCACGGCTTTAAAGCAAGGAACAAATCCGACACAGTTGTGACGCACCGTCAACAGGGACTGGTTTCCACTGGGTTGGGTTTGGAAGACAGTTCTGGTCCTCTGAACTCAATTGGTCATGGCGCTTATCAACCCGACAACCAATGAGAGCCGCTCTTTCTCCTGTTCAATCAGATCAAATCTAGCCTGTTTAAAAGCATAAAGCGGTGGGGAATTACACAGCAAAGAGATCAAATTTGGACTATTATGCTATTTTCTAAGCAATATTTGTGCACAAAAATCATCAGTTTGCACTATAGACTACACATCAAACAGTAAAGTGCCGTCCAATCACTTATGTTTTAATATTTTAAACTCTCCCAGCTCCGAATATAGTTAACTTGAACGAGATTTTATAACACTGCCTTGATGGCTCCAAAACGGCTCGAAAAACCAGGCTCAAATAAGCGCTGGTCCGACACGCTGTCAAGATGTGAAGGCCCTGCACGGCTTGGATGGAACGCGTGTGCTTTCATGTGAACCTTTAAAAAAAAAAACATTCCTTTCAAATCAGTTTAAAGGAGCATCCCGTGGAGAAGTCAGCACCCAGGTGGAATCCGGAGGATTCGTGGCTACGCTGTGGAAATGTCATTACGCGTTGGTTCGTGTTTGACCAGAAGGTGGCAGCGCCGGTCAGGAAGCCGGTTGTGTACTGGGAGGGTGAAGGCTCTGTCGGCTGTGTTCTGGTGGGCAGTGATAGGTGGAGTTCCAACCTCGCTAGCGCGTTCACCTTTTTCTTCCCCCCTCGCTTTCTGTTTTGTTTCTACGGCGTTTTGTTTCCACGGCGTCGAGGTTAGCTTGGAGTCCCTTGTTGCTTGAGGACTGTGTAGACGTTGTCCACTTTGCTCAGCCTCTCGAAGAACGGGATGAGGTCCAGCAGCTCGGTGTCGGACATGTCGTCGAACCACGAAGCAACGGGAACCTTTACAGAGAGAACATGTAACGTCACTCGATGCAGCTGTTGTTGAAAAACAGGATTAAATGTCCAGAAACGGCGAGGGACACTCACTGCGTTGTCGGGATGGAAGATGTAGGAGGCGGGGGAGTTGTCCACGATAATGACTTTGTTGAGATCACGACCCAGGCGACTCAGGTCCTTCACGTAATTGCCTCGGTGGAAAACGCACGACTCCCTAAAGAGGCGGCAGCGGAACGCGCCCCACTTGTCCAGGAGGTCAGAGACGGGGTCTGCGTACTGCCGGAAAGACACACTCAGATTTACGGGACCCGTTTACGGACGCTTGGTTTGCAGCAGGCGATGATCTCAGAAAAGCGTCATCAACAAAACCAAATATATAACCGAGGAAGTTCTCCTACTATCAAATTTGTAATTTAACACAACTTCAAAGTGGAAGTTGTTAATTGTCCAAAAAGTGAATTTTGCAACGCAAAGACAGAAAGACATGAGCAAAGGTCAATTGTTCAGCAATTCCCAGACTCTTACTGCAAAGTTGATGCTAATCTCTCCAGGAGAAAGGAATTATTCTCCAAACATGTTTGGCCAAAAAAAAGATTTCCACACATAAATGATTTTTCAAAACTGTAATGAAGAATGAGATGGAAATCCAAAGCAGAAATCTTAACATCTCTCTAACCGCACAAGCAGACAGATTTAAAGAGGTGTGGCAAAAGCAAATGAGGAGGATCAGCATGTCATGACAGACATGTAGTGACAGTCTTCAGTCAGAGGCCTCTTATAATGTATTGTAAGACTGACTACTACAGGAGATCCTTTCTCCCTGCAGCTTTTTGTACTTTATTATAGTCACAAGTTAACGCAAAAATTATGTGGAAAGAAAACTCAAAACATTGCCAATCACTTTGAACTACGCCATGTTGCATCACCTCTGCCTGCAAACGTTTAGAAATACTTCCTGTTCCTGCTCGACAACATTATTTCAAATGTTCAGCCGCCTCACAGAGCAAACCTTTGACATGTTTCCATTTCCTAAAAGAACTTGTCAAAGGTCTGCAACGGATTACCTTCCAATTAATGAACTGAAATGAAAAGTTACCTTTGCTAAACTGGCAGTGAACAGGACACACTCGAAGAGCTCTCCCATCCGCTTCAGGAACTCGTCGACATGCGGCCGCTTCAGGACATACACCTGGAAACACAGGAATCCTCAAATCGGCCTTGTTTTCTCCGAAAGGCAACATGTTTCTGCAGATTCCAGCCGACAAGAGCCAAATACGTCTGAATGCAAAATGCAAAAAAATCAAGGTATGTGCATAGATGGCAGTCAGACAGCGGAGGTGAGGCGCTGAGGTTCTCCTGAAGGCGTCGGCGTCTGAGGCCGGCGTTCCTGAACCAAGTCATCCGGAACAGGCTGTGCTTGTCTGAACAAACCTATCCTGGATTACTTGAATCAGGCCCGGAGCCACGAGGCACGTCATCCCGCTCCGTCGGTCGCTTGAACTCAAGACGACACCTGCAGACTCAGCCAGTCGGAGACGAAAGAGCGGCGTTACCTGGTGTACGGTTCCATCTATTTCCACGGGAATGATGAAATCTGCGTTGTTCACAGGCTGGCGGAGGAGACAGACAGGGAGACGTTGGTAAGCAAACATCCAGTGTTTCTGTAAAGGCTACAGCATTGGCTTTTGGAGAAAGAAAAACACTGTGGCTCTACAAACACTCTAAAATAGAAGACTGAATATGTCAAGAGATGGACGGGAAGGAAGAAAAGAAGGAACAAATGAGAGATTAATGAATGAAAATCAGAGAAAAAAGGACAAAAGGAAGGAGACAAATGAGGAAGAGACAAAAGTAAATATCTTTCAATATTCCTATTCCAGTAATCCAGACATAAAAAAAGGACTTGAATCAAATTCCAGACTTTTCCAGACTAAGCAGGAACGCTGCAGTTGACACGATGCATTTCTGCTGACATGTCAGATTTGGTTTTCTCCTAAAGTGGAATAGAGGTCTCACGTCCAGCTTGTTTATTCAACTGAAGGCTTCCACCTACGTGTTTTGACCTTTGAACCTGCTCTGAGCTCAGCACCATCCGACCTTGGGGTGGATTTGCTGGAAGGTCAACTTCCAGGAAGACTGGCAAACGTTGATGCTTTCCACGAACTTGGGATATATCGGCCTTACAACCATTCCCACAGTGATGGACAGCAACAACTCTTATTGTCACGTTTTGGTTGCACCCACCTTAAAAGAGCTGTGAACTAACGTCTCGTCCAGGTCGATCACCACGCAGATCTTCCCAGCGTCTTTTGACTTGACTGGAGGCAGCAGTGGCTTGACCTGGACAGAAACGCACACGTTTGACTGCGAACCCGACGCCTTGCACTCCGATTCAACCGAGGAGGAGGTAAGCCCACCTTGGAGACCGTCCCATTCTCCTCCACCAAGAGAGGAGCGTTGTTGTTGACGGGCAGGGGTTCGGGCTGGTCCCGGCAGAGGCAGCAGAACAGGCCGGAGAACAGGCCTCTGCTTCGCGGCTTCTTCGATGACGGGGAGGGAGAAGAGCCTGCAGGAAAGACAGGGTTGAACACATTGAACCATTTTTGTGGTGAATGTCATAAGTGAGGTATTGTTAGGCGACCTGCTGATATTCGGGTATGATGAGGAAACACACCCACTATGAAGTCAGCTGGAGGCTAAAATAAAACTTCCCCTCTGGTAACCTCTGTCCAACTGGAAGCAGAAACAAAGAAAAGCTGCCTTTTGGAGGCCTCAGGTCACGTGACACTCATCATGACTTCTTTTGTTTGAGGCGACTTATTTTTGGCTGACAGTGATGCCAGTTGTTCCATTGTTAAAATTGTTTTGTTTTGTTTTTTTTAAATAACTGTCTCCACAGACTTGGTAGTTGTGACACAAATAAACACCTGCCTTGAGTTTCCACAGATCGATTCAGAATTTACGCCAAGACCACGCCCTCTTTTGGGGGCGTGGTCTTGGATTTATGTAAAATCAAACATCTTTAGGCTTAAATATCAGGGTGTAGGCCCTGAAAGGTTATTACTTTCCCAACAAGCTCCCAGTGAAGACGTCTTGCTACAGTCAAGACAACCAATATCAGTGATGTTTGGATCTCCATAATATAAAAAGATGATACCAGGTTCACCAGACACTCTTTACCACCTCAGACCTAAATCCAATGGAAGACACATGGGATCTGGTCAATCTGGAGATGTTATCGATGCCAATGTAGTTTCTTCTTCGTATCACGTTAAAAGTCTGTGGGGCTGAACTCTGACCTCCATCCCTCCCAAAGGAAAATTTAGAGAGAATTGAGACTTCCAGTAGAAAGTCTTTAATTGAATTCATAGCTAATTAAAGCCAACATATTGTTGGCCTCAAGTCATAATTGCTTATCTTAGTTACAAAGTTTATTCCTCCTCCTGTCATCCCTGTAATTAAACATTTCTCTGAATTCTTTTCTTTCCTCACACCAGACTTTGCTTCCATCTCTGTTCTCTCGTTCCATCCGGACGTGACCGCGTTACTAACACACAAACCTCTGTTGTGGTGCTCTCACGCCTCTTTCTCTCCCTCCTCCCCGCAAGCCCCCTCCATTTGTGGATTCAAACCAACGGTGTGACCCTCCGCCGGCCTCTGCCGCGCGCAGGCCAAAACAGGAAGAGGAAACAGACGGGTATCACTGGGAGGAAGCTCCTGGCCAGCGGGTCTTAAGAGGAGCGACGCTACTACTGTCCTACGATTTCAGGGTTTGTTTTCCTTGTCATGAACAGTTTCTTCTGTGTTCCTGCAAATTCAGTTTCCTCTTTACCCCAAACAGAAATCAAAGCTGTAATTTGCAACAGATAAAGCATCTGATGCAAGAAACACACAGAGGAAGACTTATGTTTTCTTATTTCACTCCTTCGTGTCCTCAGGATTTCAGCTTCACTCCCATGGCCTCATTTGCTCTCAGGAGTCTTAATTCACTTCAGTGTTCCCGCCTCCCCACACCACCATCACATGCCTTTCTGCAAGAAAAATGTCCAACTGGGTGCTGACTGCAAAACACAGAGCATGAATGAACTTACAAAAAAAGAAAAAAAAAACTGAGGGGGGTCTGTGAAGATGACAAAGAGAGAGCTAACATGTAGCGAAGCGGAACGTGCTGGAGGGATTTAACGAAGAGCAGAAAGACCGATGGGTAAACCTGAAGCAAAGGCTCTAGGTCAAGAAAGAAGGAAAAACTTTCAACTCAGATTATAATCTGAATTTTTTTGATGCGTTAAAGTGAAACGCAAACAGGAAGTTCATAGTCCATTGGTTCTGAATCGATCAACGCTTTCGGTTTTCTTGTCCTGCTCGGCTTATCACCTTGTTGCAATTTGAGTCGGCTGCAGACCAAAATAAACTCAACGCATACTTCCAGCGCAGCACGGAGGCGCTCAGCAGCTCTTCTGGTGGAACCAAAGTGTCGCCCTCTGGAAAGATGGCGGCTGGAATGTCACGCAGCCAGATGAGGCAGAATTCGGTCGTCGCCTCTTTACGTCTCAGACTGGCTGATGTCAAGACGAGTACGTGTTTCATGAAAAGTCAGAGAAGTGCAGGGTGGCTTTTTGTCTCCAGGAGAACATCTATCAAGAATACATGAGGGCATAAAGTTGTGTTGTAACGCAGGTGTTTCATAACAGAGTTAAGTACCAAATCTAAGTCCAATACGCCTCCCAGAAACCCTTCAGCTCTTTTAATGAGCTCAAACCGCTTCAAGAGGAGCACCAACAGCCTTCATTTGCGTTTATATTGCTCCAAATCTTCTAGTAAAAGTCCCGTAATTGTTATTTGAATAAAAATTTTTTGCAGCATTTTACAATCTTAAAAAAACAAACACACACATTAAATACATCTCATGTGGTTTTCAACAAAGATCAAAGAATCAAGTAAAAGAAAGAAAAAAAACAAATTAAAAACTGGAGCTGCTGTTTGGAGCCAAGCAGAGCTGGAGACACGGAGACACGGAGACATAGAGGCTGGGAGGATCCCAACAGCCAATCGGAGGACACTTCACTACAACATAACACCGATATGAACATCAATATCTATATCTGAATATGGCTCTAAAAACTTCCCGGTATTATGAACATTTTTTGCGACAGTTCATCGCATCGCCTACATTACCTCAGATAAAATCCCCACAATCCCACACTGCATCACCGACACATGACCAAACTAACGCCTAATATGGACAAGGTGGAAAAAATGTCAACCGCTTCTCAGACCACAACCGATGTGTTAAACAATGATAAACATCAATATGTTAGTGTCGATATAGCACGCATCCCTACTTGATAAACAACTTTTTTTTAATTTTTATTAATAATAATGAATACAACCTAAATGAGAAATCCATGGAGAGGCCTGGACTTTGACTGGGCCACACAACACTTTTTTTCCCCCTCTTATCCAGCTTGAGCTCACAGATAATATTACATCTGATTCAAGATGTGAGATCATCTATTATAAAAAAAAAAGATGCATATTTTTTTTTTAACGCATCAGATAAACGAGTTGAGCTGCAGAACATTCATCACCACACCTCCTCCACCGAGCATCGCAGCGAGAAGAAATCTCCCCGTCGCAGCAGTTTCCATTTCTATTCACTCGGTGTTTCATTTCATTTCTGAGAATTTCACGTTCTGACTTTATTGTGAGCTTGCAGAACTCGCTGCCCTGGAAGAGCAGGCACATGGATTTTATTGAGGGATAACTAACAAACTGACTAACAGTAGCGCATTAAGCACAAATTCTGTTTTATGAAGTCAGTTAATGTGTTCTGGTGATTAAAATGCTCGGCTGGATTAAATAGTTTCTTCAGCCCGGCATAACTGAAGCCTGTCATCATTTCCCTGTAATAACCCACATCGTCTCCTCATGATTTTTTTTATTTTTATTTCTGCCTCTTCATGCTCAACGTCAGATACGTCAGCTGAGTTCATCTAACCTCCTAAAGTCAGCTGCTGAAATCATCCCTGAAAGCATTAAATGCTGACAGAACTGATGATGCCTATTAAAAATCTGTTTTATTTTAAAAAGCAGAAAATAAATTGATGTTTCTGCAGCTGCGGAGAAAATGAGGACGATAAAAGGAAATGAATGAAGAAACGTTTTTAATCTAGATATATGATTTAATCAAGGTATTAGCAATTTTTCTGCTCTTCATCAAATATTTGCTCTTTAATTCAACACAACGGCACTAAAACCAAGTTTTATTTTCGATAACTCGTGTTTTTATTTGTTTTAAAAGTAAAAGCACAAATCAAAAAGCGGCTCTATAAAAACGACGGCACATTTCCTACAGAGCCGTTCATCGAAAATGACGTTTTATTTCTCCAGACGAGCTTTATGCCACTCGTCTGGGTGGAAATGTCCCTTTTTCAGGTTTCAGGCTCAAACATCGACATGAAGCGTCATCCAGTGGCTTTAATGTGAGCCAACATTCCCAACATGCATCAAGGCAACGTTACGTAACAGATTCAGCTGCTGCACATGTACAAGAAGCACACACACCACCACTAAACGTCTGCTCATGTTTCACCCGAGCCTTTGTTGCCAAAACATGCTCTTCTTCTGTGGTGGAGGTCTGATGTGCCGCTGAAATGCCAGCGTCGTCGTGGGCCTGCCGCCGACTCCAGGATTATCCAGGAACCTGCGCAGCTTCTTGCCCCAGCTGGGAGTTAATGTTCAACTGGGACAACTGGAGCTTTACAGTTTGTTCTGTTGGGAGATTTTCTCTCTATGTGTTCCCGTTTACCTGGGAAGATCCAAACTCCCATTTCTTTTTCTTGCACTAAATACATCAAACTCCAGGTATTTCATTCAAATCTACAAATAAAAACAAAGTCCTCATGTATGCATTGGACTCTCCACACATTTTCTCTTGCATGCCACACCATTGCACCCTCTAAGGCAGCCACCAGGTCAAAGGTCGACGCCAGGGCCCGAAACAAACAATCAATCGCGATGAAGATGAAAGTTTTATTCTGAAAACCAGAAGCGTCCTCGTCCTGACCGACAAGTAGGATGATTTGTTCGGCGTGGTCAACGAGGATCGGTAGGAAACTCCCGCTTTCCAGCGAGTGACGTCAACGTTTGTAGTCGGTAGCATCTGCGTCTCCAACCGGAAGTCAGGCCAAATAAACAGCATCTTTTTGCTGAGGATTACGAGGAATTGAAGAACTTCATGTGAAAGGAAAGAACCCTGCTACAACAGCAAATGACAGCAGAGCCACTGAATGCATAATTAGTCAAAAATATACATTTCCAAACCCTTCTTTGACTAACAATCGCCCATTTTAAAATTGATAATGGTATTTTCTACCATCAAAAAGTTGAAACACTTGACTGGATACCAAAATTAATTTATAGTATTTCAATGCAGCGTAATTAAAAAGATTGTAGCAGTCAGACAAGAAAACAGAATCGGTAACTGAACTCATTGGTTCCTGATCGGTGTGATCGATGACTGAACAGACTTATGAACGAAAGTTTCCGTAAGGTTAAAAAACATTTATTTTTTTGCAAATTGGTCTTCAACCATGATGACTTGGAGTCAAACGCCAACAGCTTCACACTTTTTCCAGGTTTAGGAGTGTAAAGGATTTATGTTGATTATTTACGGAACATTTGTGAGGTCAGACACTGGCGTTGGACGAGAGACTCGACCCAACTCTACCTCGGCAAAGGTCGAAAAATCAACCACGGCTGCAGCCCACCAGGTCTGTCAGTATGGAGTGACTTTCTCACTACATTTAGTCATAGTGACAAAAAATTGGTATCAGCTAAAATCGGAATTGGCAAGTCAGATGGTAACCAGCCTAATTGAAGGTATGGAAGTGATTGGAACACTGGAAGTCAATACTTTGGATGGTCAATCCAATATTTATGGATTAGCCAAAATATTGGATAATTTTGAGAGCCAGCTGAATCAAAGACCTGGATACACTTTAACCTGATTTATTAAACTAAAACAAAACTATCCGTTTCATTTTTTTTCAGTGAATACTTGTATTTTGTAACCCCTTCCACCACTAAAAATATCCACAAAAGAAAACTGGATTTTCCACTCTTCTTCGTCTGCATGACTTGCACACAGAAGCCTGATATTTCTGCTTAACTAATGCAAACCATCCCAAACATTAATATAAGACCTTAAAATCATATATAAATACTTACTCCTCATCAAAAAAAAAAAAAGCTGAATAATTTTGTATTAATTTTAAACATCTTCAATTGAAATAGAAAAGAAAAATCTGGAAATATTTGCAGTTTGCACTAAAAAAAAAAAAAAAAAAAAGATTGAGATCGGATGCATATTATGAAATGCATAAATGCAAATAACATTTGAATAATATTGGGGGTATTATGAAACTTTCACAAGTTTTTGCTTTAATTCAATTAAATTTATTTACAGTCTGAGGCTTAATGGTGTGTAGTATAACATTAGATTTTTTGAAAGCAACATAGTGTGATAGTTTTATTTGAATTTATTTTGCAAGATTATTATGCAGATGCAAAAAAAAAAAAAGTGACACGTTGGGTTTGATGTGTGTGTGATCGTCACTTCCTGCAGTTTCTGTCAGGGGCCAAAAGGGCCGCAGCGATCATCTGTGTCCACACAAACACCCAAAGTGTCACAGTCCCCATGTAGACCACGCAGCTGCAGTGGAACGTCAAAAAAAAAAAAAAGAAGAAAAAAAAAACTTTTTCCTGACATGACAGTAGAGGAATCCCCCCCTCTAAAAAAAAAGACGCTCACCTCTCTCTGACGCGGCTTTGCTGCCCTCCTCATCCCGGCTCACTTGGGTGATGACTGAGGACGGGCTGTCCATCGCGTCCCAGTCCCCCAGTCCTCACGCCTCAAACTTCTGGGTTGTTTCGCCGACTACTCCGCCGCTGCTGCGTGAGCCGAACATGTACGAAAACAAAACCGAAAGGCGCCGGAAAAGTGGCCGAGCCGCCGCTTAGAGCGCGTCCATTCGCACCGCCGCGGGAACCACTCGCTGAGCCGCTGACGTACAGTCCCAAAGTCGGCGAACATTTGTTTTAAAGAGTTGGCAACTTTGATTCAATATGGTGCTCAACTCCTGCTCGCAATTTCAAGATACAAACATGGAGGTTTCAAGGCGCCCCGCTTCCACTTAAAGCGGCGCAGGAAGAGGGAGCCGCCGACGCCGACACTCCGCCTCGCCGCGTCGACACATTTCGCCACGGTCCCTTAAACCGAACGGGACGAAAGTTGGCCCAAAAGTTACACCGTGTTCTTTAAAGTTCGAAACGCTCAAAGTACCGTCACAATATGGCCGCGACTCGCCGTGGAAACTTGTTAAAGTGCGGCGGAGCGCGCGCGGGAGAGAAGGCGGCGGTCTGGACGTGACGTAGAAAGCCGAAACTAAACGAGACAGCTAGTTTGTGCGCCGTTCAGTTGTCGGCGGGGTTTGGATGTTTAGGTCGCTGTAGGCTGCAGCTTTACAGACTGCTTCTAAAAACAGCCTCGAGAGCAAAACGTTTTCAAACTTTTTTTCGCCCTTTGAAGTGGCAGCAGCTCAGGAACGCCCAGTTCGGGTCTCCTTGAAACTGCCTTCAGTAAGGGAGCGTCACCAAAAAGTTCCTTTTTGCCGTCAACAAAAACAGTTCCCGTCATTTTATAAATGAAAAAAACATGTATGCAGAACAATATATATACATACATATGTATACATTTTATGTTTGGGCAAAAATAATTTCTTTGTATTCTTTACAATTTAAGAATTTTGTGGAAAAAAAAATTAACTGCAAAATAATTAAATATATATATATAGGCCTACATACATGGACTGGCCACAATTTTCTTTTCTTCATATAACTTCCTCAAGTCTAATTCTCATATATTGTTTATATATATATAAACAACTATAGCAGACATAGAGGACAGTTACAAGTACCTAGGTATACCACAAGCAAATGGAAATCTCGATGAGGCCACAAGGAAAGGAGCCACAGCTAAATACCTCCGACGAATAAGGCAAGTCCTGAGAAGCCAGCTCAATGGCAAGAACAAAATTCGTGCGATAAACAGCTATGCCTTGCTAGTAATCAGATACCCTGCTGGAATAATTAGCTGGCCAAAGGAGGAGATAAAAGCCACAGATATTAAGACTAGAAAGCTACTAACCATGCATGGAGGGTTCCATCCCAAATCCAGCACCCTGAGACTGTACACGAGCCGCAAGGAAGGAGGCAGAGGACTAGTGAGTGTGAGAACCACTATCCAGGACGAAACAACCAAGATACATAGATACATCAGGAAAAAGGAGCACGAGAAACTGGAGAAATACCAGGGCCTCAGGGAAGAACTGGAGAGGGCCTAGAAGGTGATGACCACAGTGGTGCCTGTGGTCATCGGGGCCCTCGGGGCAGTAACCCCCAAACTGGAGCAGTGGCTACAACAGATCCCAGGAACAACATCAGACATCTCAGTCCAGAAATGTGCAGCAGTCCTTGGCACAGCCAAGATACTGCAGGACCCTCAAGCTCCCAGGCCTCTGGTAGAGGACCCGAGCTCAAAAAATACAAAAGCTGTGCAAAATCCAATTTCACCCTTACCTTTACACAATCTATTTTATAACCATTAAATCCATTGCAGATTGCCAGAATTGGTTAATGTTTAGGTTTTGTTTTTTTAAAGATTTTTTTGTCTCTATAGTGGCCTTTATTTAAGTGCAAAGACAGGAATGTAGGGAAAGAGAGAGGGGGGAGACAGGTCATCAAGCCAGGAATCGAACCTGCAAGGGCCGCATTGAGGACTAAGGCCTCCTTATGTCGGTTGTTCTCAACCCTTGGGCCTCCACAGCACCTCCGATGTTCAGTCTTTTGAATAAATTATGGACAGACATGGTGATAAAAACCACTTTGAATTTTCTGAAAACTAGGATCAAGATTGATGGGATTGGGGTCAAGTATGCGCACCTCCTTACAGCACCCAATGACGAAATATGTCGAAGAACATACCAAATGTAAGCAAGAATGATTTATTTTCCTTGTTATCATGGTAAATGGGCTGAATTTGTGTGGTGTGTTAGTAGCATAGCTAAATGACTGCCGGATAACTTCTGAGGTCAGAGAAAAATAACGTTTCGATCATATTCTCTTGCCATTCAGGGCGTCTGTAGACCCCAACCGCATTTAGCAAAACACGTAATATTCTCAAATGTATGAATATTTTATTACATACTATCTCATAAAAACATTTTCATCTTTTTCCACATATAAACACCGCAAATGGGTACATTTACAAATCTTGAGCCATCCAAAGTCATACAAAAGTCCTGATAGAGCAATACATGAGGCATTCTAATGATACAAGGACTCCATGAAAATTTGCCTAAATGTGTTTATGGATGAGTTACCTCTTGTAATGTCCGGACACTGCAACCAGCTGATGAAGACACACATTAAATATGAACATTTTTGACGTTTACCCCGAGGCACCGACTGGACGACCGAGATTCAAGCAACCAGATCTACTGACCTGTAATACTGACAAACTACGGCAACTAAGCGTCACGTTACACTTCATAGAAAATCTACTGTTCACAGCTGGATCGCGATTTAGAGTTGATCACAGAGCAAGAAGCTGCACGACAGATTCTCCCCTAAACCGTTTCCCTTGAGACTCAACGTCAATCACAAGCATCTTCCTTATTTCTTTTTTTTTTCTTTTTTTGCCTTATAGTTATATTGAAAAGTGACTCAAGAATGTGCACACACATGCAAATAAATTAACATGAAAAAAAGTAAACATATTTTAAAGAAGGGGGGGGGAAACAATGTTTTCGGTGTTTTAAAATGAGACAAAATGCAGAATAAGTTAGCAGCTTTAAAAGTGGTACATTAGCATGACGATTACCACCAAACTGCATGCCAAACAAAATGTGTTTTTAAGACAAAACTACTAAAGAAAGCATCTTGGTATCAACAGTGGTGGGCAGCGCTAACTGAAACGTTTGCTACGCTAAACCCAAAGCCCTAACCGTCAAGATTAGCTCCGCTAAAGCTAACGCACTGCACCGACATTGTATTTAGTGGAAGCTAATGCTAAAGTGCCAACTTAAATTTTGGTTTAGCATTAGCTTGTGAGTACAACCTTCAAGAACCGATTTAATTTCGACATAATTTCCATATTCTATAATTCAGTTCGGTTTTTTATTCGTGCTTTTATCTCGTTCTGTGCTGCATATTATTTTGCTCCTGCATGTTTCTCGTTTGCTTTAAAGTGATTTGATAAAACGAAAACGAAAATTAATGTTAGGAGAGGAAACAGAGTTGGTGGCAGACGTCAAACTGAAAGTTTACACAACAACCAAATAACTGATCTGGAAATATTGTCAAATAGCTAAGTGCACTTGTCTGGGTTAGCAAACCGCTGAATAAAAAATTTGCTCCACTGTTAGCACATTAGAGGAATTGCGCCCACCACTGGATATCAAATGTGGGGCAACTAAAACTGCAGTGTCAGAATTAACAAACGACAAAGAGGCTAAAACCAAAAGTCTTCCTGTCCTTTTAATACAGTTTATAAGGAGTTTATGAGTTGAATGTATTCTCTCTGGTCTGTTGAGTTTTTATTTGTTCCAAAGTAACACTTGGACTCCCGTGTGGGTCCAACTGTCTGCCCGTGGTGCTTGGTGTCAGCAGTGGTTGGGTTGGGGTGACTCCTGCCCCGTGTTCACTTGGGGCCGGGTAGGTGTGGCGCGGTGCCGGATGCCGGGCTGCGTGGCGAGCCCTGGTAGGTGCGCAGCAGCACCTTGTGCTTGGTGGCGCTCTCCATGCGACAGCTCTGCTGCTCCACCAGGAACTCCTTGAGTCGGCCGGAGGTGAAGGTGAGCGTCTGCCTCCGGAGCTTCATCAGATATGAGTCCTGCAGCCAGGCCTGGGTGAAGCAGTCCCGCGTGGTTGGACGAGCCCTGAAAAATACGCAAATGCAATTGAGGATCTTTATGCTGATAAATCCTACTGTTTTTTTTTTAATCACGTTATGTTGAATAAATGAGCAGTCACCATGGATAACTGCTCAACATCTTCTTGAGAAAAACTGAGGCACTTTGGGAAACATTTGGGTAGAGTTTGCTAGGGTCAAACTTGGCCATCAGGATTTTAGATTCAACTTGCCGAGGGTCCTTATCTTCAAAGGGCAGTCGACCACTAAGCCTGAAAGAAAAGAACAAATAATATAGAAAGCTTGACAGCAGCTACAGTACAGAACATCGTATCAAATTCAACCGTTAATATTTTATGGGCTGATGGACGATTTGAAAATTCAGAATTAAAAAGCATTCCACCTGTCCAGGGGATCATCTCCACAAACTGTTATTCCAATTCTCCCACATCGGGAATCCAGACTGACCTTCCAAACACAAACGATGACTTTAAGGATGCGACGAAACTTACATGATGTAGGTGACGACTCCAACGGTCCAAATGTCAGCAGGAGGACCGACGACTTCCCCTTTGACCATCTCAGGAGCTTAACAGGAGGAAGATGTTTGCGAGTCAAACTGTGCTTTTGTTTTGAAGTATGGAAGATGAGTTGTGACATTGATCCTCACCCATGTATTCCAGGGTTCCTTCCCCTGTGCCCTGGGGTTCCAGGTTGAGGGGATTGAAACTCTGAGCACTGCCAAAGTCTACAATCTTAACCACATTAAGGTTGGTCACCAGGATGTTCTCAGGCTTGAGGTCCAGATGGAGGACTCTGCGGTTGTGGAGGTACTCCACCGCCTGGAGGATTTGAACCAGGTAGCCAACTACATCATCCTCCGAATACCGAAACCTTAAAAAAAAAAGAAGCATTTCAACATCTGCCTGAGTCTATAAACCTCAGCTTGATATTATCCTTCCCACCTGTCAGTGAGGCTGAAGAGCAGCTCTTTGCCAGTGCAGTACTCAGCCACCAAAACCAGGTACCGTGGTGTGACATAGGCCTCGTGGAGAGCCATGACCTTCTCATTGTGAAGCGACTTTAGGATCTCGTACTCCTTCAGCACTTTCTGCTTGCTCTCCTGGCTGTAGGGAATGATTTTGGCCATGTAGATCTTTCCGGTGGCGTTTTCCCTGCACTCGCGGATCACCCCAAACCGACCTCTGGACACAGGAAACACAGCAGCTTCAGCTACAGGAGCTACAAATCTGCTCCTAAAATAGGAGGTCCACCTGTTTAACTCAAACAATATGTCAAAAGAATATATCAAGAGTATATCAAAGACATACACAAAGTTGTAACTCTTTGAATTACAACACAAATGTGTTGTAACATTTGATGTGAATTACAACACATTTAATTTCTATTTGACAAAAATACAGTTTTTTTCCACAAAATTTTGAATTCTAAATAAATAAATTATATTAAACATGAATATTTGGAGGGTGTTTCATGGAGTATTGCAGTTGCATGCAGTTGGATTCTGTCTAACCTGGCCTTCTCATCCAGGAAGGTGTATGGTTTCTGTGGAACTCCTTGTCTCAGAGCAGTAGAGGGCGTGCTGCGTCCAGATGGGGTGCCTCTGGTTGGGGTGTTGGCACCCTCTGCAATGGGGCTCAGGCTGGAGGCCTGGAGGACGGGTGGGGAAAAAGACACCGGAGTGGGAGCTACGTGTACCGTGGCAGCAGTGGTGGGGACGTAGCTGGGTATGGATGCAACCAAAGGTTTGGTAGGGGTAGAGGGCGGGCTTACAAGAGGAGGCGGGGTCTGGGTCATAGGGGTCACCACGTTTATCGGACTCTGGGGCTTAGACAAGATGAAGGACGGAGAGGTTTTGACTGTGCTAGAGGAAGGCAGAACGCTGCTTTGCTTTTCCTCTGGGGTTATGCTAACAGACGGTGACGGAAGACCTATGGGAGGGTCAGAGGTCAGGGCAGACGGCGGAGGAGGAGGTGGAGAGGTTGAGAAGGTGGAGGTGACTTTGACATCTGGGTTAGGTTTCAGTGCTGGTTCAGGTGGAGTTGGGACTATTTTTACTACAGCAACTGCAGGTGAAGCTCCTCCGTCTGCACAACAGATACAAGACAATCGTCACTGGGAGATATTAGCCTCATGTTATGGAAACTACATCTGCATTTAATATCTCAGAAAACTGGGATAAAACAGGAGAGAAGATGGAGGATAACTTCATGATACTGTTTCTTTCGTCATGGTTATTACTCTAATTTGTCATTTCCACTTCCTGTATCATTCCTGTATCGATCCACATTAATAATAATATTAGTGATTGTCTATATCAAGCCATAAACCCACCTGTTGAGTCCAGGCTGACCGGAGCAGAGCAGTTGCTGTGAGGACCTTGTCCTGCCTTGTTGACGCAGGACACTCTGAACCTAATGGCCCCCCCTAGTGGCAGGTCAGTGACATTGTAGTAACAATCAGCTATCCCAGTGGCTACAGTTACCCAGTTGGGATCAGCTACAGAAAAACACAAGAAATGTATTTTAAAAAACTCAAAAACTTACAGTGATAAAGCAAGCTGCATGAGCTCAACAAAAGATTAATGAAGATCAAGCTTAGAAAACATCTTGCAGTTCACATTATGGCCACTAGGTGGAAGCGTTGGCATGCTTGTCAAGTAAATAATTTGCTTAGCATCTGTCCCAGTGTCCAATTTCCTCTTAAGACGAAATGAAAGCAGCTTGAAAGAAACGAGAATGAAATGCACAGAGAAACGTAGAAGAAAGGGAGGAGGAAAGAAGGAAGAAGGATGGAAGGAAACAAAACAAGAAGACAGGAAGAATATAAGTCAGATGAGTGATAGATAGATAGAAGAGAGGACAAACTGAAATGGAAGGATGTAAAAACAGGAGTAATGAAATAAGCAGAGAAGATAGAAAGTACACAAGGATGATGGCAGGAGGCCAAAAAGAAGAAAATTAGACGAAGATAAAGAGACATAAGGAAGGAAACAAGCCACTTGAAATATTTTAAAAATTAGAGGCTGAAACCACATTCCAGACTCTTCCGTTCTGCCTAGCAACCACAAAGTGTCTGTATCTGCAAGCAGCGCACTCCAGCGCCGACGCAGAGTGAAGACAGAAAGCTCTGCTAAAACCATTATCCAGTTGGAAGCTGACTCATTGGATGTCATTAAACATTCTTTATGGATCGGGGAGCTCATTTCCCAACAGAACCCTTCATATTCAGAGCCTGTCAAACACCAGCAGCTCTGGGCCTGAGATGATTCACTGTCTCCCCCCTCGGCCCCCTCCTCCATGTTACTGACAGCGGCACGCAAATAAAACGGGCATCTCATCCCAGACCCTGCGAGGATGCTTTCCGACTCGCTCACCTTCACTTCTCCATTCCAGAGAGTAGCTGCAGGGAGATTTTGTGTCCGACGGCTTCCACAGAACCAGAGCCGTGTTGTTGTAGGTCTGAGCTACTTCAGGGGTTCCGGGTCGCTTTGGAACAGCTTGAGTGAAGAATGGGAGAAGTGATGGAGGGAATAAACCCCGCCGACAAATCAGGCAAGTATTTATTCTTAATAAAGGCCACTAGAGCCAACAAAACCTTGAAAAAAAAAAAACCTCCCCAAAAAGTCCAATAGTGAAATTTTCTGCAATTTCGAAATGAAACCTATTTTCTTTCTCCTGGCACACACTTAGTGAAAGCAGCCAACATTTAAGACAAGCAGTTTTACACCAATTACACTGATGACTCATCAAAGGACAGGCTATTCAGAGATAAGCCTTATAAATATAAGTCTACAGCTCAAAAGTACCGCAGTAATTACTACATTTCAGGAGCTTATAAGTTCTTTAACTTCGGCTGACGCCAATTTTATCTGTAGAGCACCATTTATACAGAAATCTGATTTATGTATAAATACTTGATTTATTAAAGTAAATCAAGCTTTACTTGATTTATTTTAATGAACAACAACAGTGTATTTTGATCAGACTGATTGTTTTCCAGTCTTATGTTTTAGTCTAATTTCCATGGTTTATTGTTTGGATATGAGCCACGGAAGATAATTTCAATCATCATCAATACAACAGCAAAAAAAAGAAAAAAAATTGTTCTAATTAGGTACTAAATTTTGTGAAAGTAAAACTCCATTAGGTTAATCTTCCGTACAACTAATCTGCTGCCGTTAATATTCTTGGCATTCATACCAATCTCAGCGCAATTAAAATTCAATAATGTAAAATGTGCCATTAGGAAAATGACTGTATGTCTTTGAAATGCAAATATTGCTCCTCTGTGAGGAAAGTTCAGCATGTTGAAATCTGCAAACTCGTGCATGCATTCTAGAACTCCCCAAGCCCCAATCTAGTAGCATATTCGCGCAATGTATTTCACTGGCTTTGGGAAAACAGAAACCACTTACAAGCTATAGAAAGCGTGCAGGAGGTGGTGACGGTAGCGATTGGGTTGGTAGCGACGCATTCGTACACCCCAGTGTCTCTGTGGCTGCACTTCTGAATAGTAAGAAGCTGCCTGCCGTCCGGGTGGTTCAGAAGCTTGATCCGGTTGTCCGTCACCTCTAACACTTTCCGATCTGGAACGTGAGAAAACGGGAAAGAAATCAGTCTCACTGTTTGAATGGATTTCAGTTGTACAGATCAGTCTCTTCTGGAGTTAAGGTTACCCTTCATCCAGGTAATCTGTGGGTGTGGACTGCCAGCTGGAAGGCAACTCAGAGTCACAGCTTCCCACTCTAATAGGACATGGTCCTTTAGTTTGATGTGGAACACCGGAGCAAAATCAGAAGCAGAGCGGATGAACTGCTGGCTTTTTGTCAGACCTTCCTCTTTGGGTGCAGTTGAGGGTAAGTCAGATTGGGAGGGAGTTTTGTCTCTCCTGGGCCTGGTTAAGCCCCACCGGTCCCACCGCGACCGTCTGTCAGTCTCCATGGCTTTATCGGAATGGATACTAGAGTTAGACTCAAGGGATTCCTTCGATGCAGCAGCACCTGTTTGTTTTGCCAGCTGATTTTCAGGGATACCCATCCCTTTGAGTCCTCGACCTTCAGAATGGGAATGACGGTGCCGAGCAAACAGAGGTGTGTTCCTACCCTCTCCGTCTACTTTCCTTTCTTCTGATTGACTGCGGATTTTTGAGGATATTCCTGCCACTTTGTTCTCAAACTTGTGACGTATTGCAAGAACAGGGGATTCCGAGACCTTGTTGAGACCCCTTTGCTCAAGGTCTTTCTGACTACCTCCAGCCTCTTTAGCCTTCCTCTCCTCTGACTGACTCCTAAATTTTGCAGAGATTCCCGCCACTTTGGACTCAAACTTTCGTCTCATGGCAGAAACCGAGGACTCCTCAGCTTTCCCAGATTGTCGCTCTTCAGACTGCTTCCTTGCTTCAGAAGCATCCAGATCCTTTGTGTCCAGAGATTTACTGCGACCAACAACCCATGAAACCCTTTTACTTACAGCAGTTTCTTGTACATTTGGTTGCTTTTCCTCCTTTTTCTCAGTAGATGTTGATCTCTTGCCTTTCAATGAAAACCTCCCAATCAAACCAAGGCCTGTTTCCTGACCTACCTCTCTTAAGTCTTGGACAGATTTAGATTTCTCTGGAATTCCCTTGGATGCCATTTCAAGTGGAGCCCCTCTCGGCCCTGGCCTGTAAATGTCCTCACCCCCTTCAACAGTCTTTCGGCTCAACACAGGGGATTTCTCCTCAGACTTGTTTCTGGTCAGTTTGCGGATGCCACGGGTTAAGGATGACTCACGCTTCTTAAACTTGGCCTCAAAGACTTCCACTGAATCAATGTCTTTGATGTCTGTTCTGAGAACGGGTTGGCGAGGGATGATGGTGAGATCGGGGTTTGAAGACGAGGGAGGAGAACCAGCAGGTCTGTCTCCTGTTGCTACTTTGGCAAATACAGCTGGATGCTCAGGTAAGGAAGATGCATCTGAGAATTTTTCATTCATACTTTTTTCTTTCTCTTCTATAACAATTTTAGGAGTAATACTAGATGTTTCAGTCTCTACTTTGGTCCTTTTCTCTGTTGCTTCATCTATATCTGAACCTTTCACATTGCAATTGTTTTGCTCTTGGTCCATTTTTCCTGTTTCTGGAAGAGCAAAGGAAGCTTTTGCTTTGGGTGAGGTTGATTCGGACTCCAGTGTTGCTTGTTCAGTCAGCGCAGACATTGAAATAGCCTCCTGCAGCTTCTTCCCTTCTGTCGGAGCACTGGAAGCAGATGGAATCTCTAAGGGGGCTCCAAACCTACGGTGCAGGGACATGGGCTCTGAATCCCCCTGTGAGAAAGAAACACTTTTACAAAAAACTTTGGTCTTTGGTGTGTCTTCTCCTGAGCTTTCAGAAGATGCTGCTCTGGTAAGTTTTGAGGGTCCTGCTTTGGATCGTCTTAAACTTCTCTCAAGAGATCCCGTCTGCCTTTCCTCATCTATGCCAAGGGTTTCAAACAGCGGCCCCCGGAGGCCACTCATTTTTTTATCAACGCTTCCTCCCCTTAGCAGCCGTTGCCTCATTAGCTCTAGTTTTAAGGTGTAATCTTCCTGACTTAACTTTGTAGCTCCTGGGCTTGGGCTGCGATTGGGCAGTTCCATAGAAACAGCCTTTTTTAGGCTCTTCGTTCTTGCCTCTGAGTCTTCATTTGCATTTCCTTCCTCTGGGTCTATGTGGAGAAGTAGAGCTGAATCAGCAGAGCTGCCTCTCCTCATGGTAGCCCTCCTGGCTCTTGTCTGTGTTTCATTAGACCCAGTGCCTGATCCTTTCTTCAGATCTTCTCGTTTAGCCTTTCCTGTTCTCTCCACTTCATCTGTAATATTTTTATTCCCCTCTGCCGTAGAACCATCTACATCCATATTTTCCTTTGTCCTTGTACTATTAACACAGACGGTCGGCCATCTGACATCCTCGTCCCCTGGGATCTCATTAAGCGAGACCCTGGATCCAGAGAAAACCATGGACAGGGGCATCGGAATAAACGGAAGCTCGTCCGCATCTGCTTCTGAATCGGACGAGGAAGAAGGAGGCGGGGAGCCTTCCTTCAAATGACGAGCAACAGCGATGGAAACGTGGCTGGAGGAGTCGTTGAGGAGCTCTGGGATGGATCTTAACGCCATTTTGGATTTATAGCTGATAAGGGAGCGCTGGAAATAATCAACACAAAACATCTGGAATCATTACATCTGGTGTTACAACAACAAGAAATCTGTGTTCGGTCTTTGTTGTAGCAATGCTTCGTGGAAATAAATTTCATATACTACTGGACAGTTTGTAAGGACAATGCATTTGTGGGCGAAACAAGCAAACTTAGTGGAATCACAATCTGACATCGGTCTTACCTGCCAGCGCCTTCTAGCAATAACCTGCTTTAGCATCGCCGTGCTAATGCTCTTATTTGTAGGTGACTGCAAGGCAAACAGGGGGGATTGTAACTGACTTTCAGCAAAGACAGCAATAAGTCTAATAAAAGGAATTAATTTAAAAAATAATGGCTCACCTTGAACCAAGGATGACGAAGGCACTCTATGGCATTTGGCCTCCTGAGAGAGGAATGATAAAGACAATATCCGTTCTGTATATTAATAAAAAATGGGCACGGTTGTAGGTTTTGAAAAAAATCTGAAAAGTGTGGCATGCACATCTGCAGACCGCCAGACTGTATCTTTTGGGACATACCTTTACAAACTGAGTGCCCAGCCATTGTAAAATGGATGCAACACGTTAAGATTTTGGTGAACAAGTATGGCCACAAATTCTCAAACTGATTTTGGCTTGGACTTTGACTTGGCCATTGCACTACTTCAATCAAATCAATTTAGCGCCAACACCTGGATTCTTTCTACTTGCTGACTTTAGAAGGCAATTGTTTGTACTGGATTTCACTTAGGAGTTTTCCTATTTTAATAGTTCAAACACTAAATATACCTAAAGATATTAATTGTGGGAACAATCTCAGTACTACCACAGAAAAAAAGCTAATATCTTCACTGATTTGCTCTTGGAGGAACAGACAATCAGTGCTGAAGAAAATGACTGGCACTCCTGGATTGGTTGTTTTGCAAACGCAAGCCAATAGCATGTCAGGTAACATTATCTTTTGAATATATTAATCTAGCCGAAATTTTCGCGAATGATTTGGAGTTACCTTCCACCAGGAAAATCTGCAATTAATAAACTGTGAATAAACAGGGGTCCACTGTACTGGTTTACCAGTATGATACTGGAGGGTATGCCTTTAAGGCATGAAATTCCATGATGGCTCTGATTAGAGCTACAAGATGCTCACAGCCTGTCCACCACCAGAAGCTTGATGACGAATCCTTTGGCCTCCTTGCAGAGCTCTGAAAACATGCCCTCCTCGAACGCCACGTTGTAGTTCCTGATGTTCAGCGCGGTGTCTCTGTCATTCTCACCGGCAAACGGAGACACCCCAGTCAGACTGGAATCAGAAGACGTTTGGGATCTTTTACTCTGAATTTGTCGTATTTCAGGACTGAACTGGAAGCTCCAGAACGTACCAGAGATAAGTGATGACTCCGACAGGCCTGTGGAGAACAGGAAGCAGGTTACAACATGCTAATCATGCCAACAGAGTGAGGAGTCATTTATCTAGATTCAGAGACAGCTGGCTTACCATATGTCTGTGGCTATGGAAACTGGAGTTTGGTTAATGATCTCTGGAGCAACGTACTCCGGTGTGCCGTATTTGCAGTAGTAATCCTCTGAAGTGTCCAGTTTGATGGCATTCCCAAAGTCACATATGCGGATGAGGTCACTACCTGGACTGGCCATTAAAATATTTTCAGGCTAAAGAGGATTTAAATGCAGACGTAGAATGATTAGGTAGTGCTAACTGACTTATAGATGGATACATTGTTTGTTGCTGTGGTTTCTTGGTTTTGTTTTCTCTCTTTCTACAGGCGTACACTTCAGATGTACCTGTAAACACAATAAATAGCATTTGGGATGCAATGATACCTTCACGTCAAGGTGAGCGATATTGTTTTGGTGAAGATATCTAAGCCCCTCCAAAATCTGCTGGACACAGCTGCGAATCTGCGGGTTGGAAGACGAAACGGATAATCTGTAAAGTCGGTTTGCATAATGTCGCTGCAGTGCATCGAGCAGAAGAGCACCAACCAGCTTCTCCACGACGGTCGATTTCTTGGCCATCCTGTCCAACATTTCTTCGTGACATCTTCGCACAACAGTTGAGGGAAAACCTGAGCCGAGAGTCGACTTTGTGAGAGAAGGATTGCAAATGAGCAACACTCCCACACATGCTATCTATTGCTAATTCCGCCCAGCAGCCGTGAGTCAGAGAAGAGAAGCTGGGCTGCTTCATTCATGCCTCCAGGGAACTGCAGAGCGCATCGGAATCAATGGTTTCCAACCTTTACAGAATTATTTAAGTACACTGTTAATTTGGAGGGAATCAAAAGGATTCCTAAGTATCACTGGAGGTAAAATAGAGGATATCAACATGCTCTCTCCAAATGCAGCTCAACATTAAGAGGCGCAAAGGATTAAAGGATACAATTCTGTGATGAGCACCACTATGTTCTTCTTCTCGAAAGCATCATGAAAGTAAAGGATGTGGTTGTTGTCCAGCTCAGAAAGCAGCTCCATCTCCCTGAGGGCCAAAGCTTTCCTCTTTCCTCGGGCCGAGATGAATTTAGCCGCAAAATCCACCTTTTCCGACTTCAGCGTCGCTCTCTTCACATAGGAGAAGGCTCCCCTGTTACAGAGGCGATACAATTAGAGACGGACGATGGACAGAGTCGCTCAGAGTGGCACCTCTCTCACCCTCTTCTTTGGAAATTCATGGCTCGACAACAATAGGAGCTTTTAACTACTAATAGCTGTCAGAGGAGGTCTGCTGTATAAGTTAGCAAGCTAAGATGCTACAGCTGCAGTGTGTAAAGCAGCAGAGTGCAGGCTAGCCCATAAAACTGAGAATAGATCCAGTTGGGATTTTACACTTCTGATACTTCTTTCGAGATGACATATTGATTGAACCGATACTAACTTCCCATTTTCTTACTATTTGTGACTGAAGTAGAATTTAATATTCAGTTTTTCTTATTGTTTTACCTGTAAACACCGTCAACCTCCACATGTTCCTTTGCCTTCTGTACCTTTGTTGTTTCAGACGTTTCAAAGCAAAAAAAATAATCAAATATCACTGACAATGCTATTGTTACTAATAAGAAAAAAATAAGTTTAACAGCAGTTCAATGTTGTTTAAAAAGACAATTAAAAAACATTCATTTTATAGCACTGCTGCAAAATATAACTTACTGCCTGGAGGAGGAACTGCTTCCTGAGAACCGACCAATGAAATGCTTTCATAAGCAGAACAGGTCAATTTGCTCATTCCATCAAGAGTTTTCCTCTTTTTCTATGAGTATTTCATTATTTTTCTTCCGTTCAAGGAAAATAAAGAATATCATGTTTTGTTTAGCCTTTTTGTTTTGTTGTTGTAAGAAAAAAAAAAAAAAGAATTTTTTTTTTTGCCAGTCGAAAATCAGCTTTGGTCTGTTTTCCGTTTTCAAAGGCTTCGCCGATCTCAGCAAACGGCCGTCTCCACCGAGGCGACCCAGAACAAATCATCTGCCAGCTAATGCATTCACTCCACAGAGGATGGTGAGTCATCTCCCTTTCTGTCTGCTGTTGTTAAGCAGGTTCAAACCCATCCCCTCTCCCACCACCATATGCAGCCCCCGCCCCCTTCAGGCCGACCCTGAGCGCTCACACAACTATTAACGTCAGTGCCCTCGCCATGTCTGAGGGGAGCTGTGTGCCTCCCACACACAGGCACACACACACACACACACACACGCACCTCCCTATCTCCTTGTGAACATCATAATAATCCGTCAAACGCCGCATCTTCCTCAGAATGGTCCCCTCGTCCTCCACTGGCTCGGCTGTCGCTTTTCTCTCTGCATGACGCACAGACACAGGCGTTTAATACAGTGTGTGTGTGTGTGTGTGTGTGTGTCAGAGCAGTGACAGATGGTTTCATATTATAGCTGCAGAACACCTTGTGGTTTCTCCCATATGGAGCAGATTTACAAAGCAATTTCCAACAACAACTAGCTGACACGGGTAAAATCTGCTGCAGCACAAAGACGGGCTCTGGTCTGAGCTGTGAAGCTTCTCTGTGCTTTTAAATCCTGTCGTTTGTTTTCAAGCGCGTTTCGACGTGGGACTTTGCACCTGTGTGAACCGTGAGCTCAGCCTTGCAGGACACGGAGCCGGCCACGTTCTTGGCGGTGCAGGTGTACACGCCTGAGTGCTCCTCCGTGGCGCTCAGGATGACCAGCGAGTATTCCGGGTCGTCGTACACGAACGTGAAGTGGCCGCTCTCGGAGAGGAGGAGGTCGTCCTGCGGCAGAGCAACGAGGAAGACGAGCTGGAGCTGACGGTGCCAAAATGTATCGAAAGTTTCCAAAAATGTTACCTTAAACCACAGGATATCTGGATCCGGTTTCCCCTCCACCACTACAGCCAGACGTGACGTTTCCCCAACGTGCACATCCACGTCCTCCATGATAGATTCAAATTTAGGAAGAACTGCAGAAGAAGGCAAAGAGGTAAACAGTCGCGGTGCAAGATGTTTTCTGACTTCCTGGTTAAATGCTGGAGGTAGCTGACCTGCCATGGCCAGCTGCAGTGTGCAGAGGTCACTGCCAAACTGGTTGCTGGCGGTGACCACCATCTGGCCAATGTCAGAGGTCCTGACCCGCTGGATCCTCAAGGTGTGCTGATCGTCGTCTGGCATGCTCATCTCATACACTCCTAGTCTGTTAATCAATGCAACTCCCCTCCTGAAGGGAGCAGAGAGTCTTAGCGCCTCGACTTTCTTCAGAGATGCTAAGAGATGCTAGCAAGGCTGTTAGCATAAACTTTTCCCTCAGCGATTTTGCTCATTTTTTGCCACAGAAATTTTACAGCACCTTTTCCAGGTCACCACCGCATGCACGTGGTTCAGCGTGACGGTGACGTTAGCGGGTTGGTTCTCCACCACAAACACAACGTCGGGTTTGTCCAGAATAACCGGCGCCTTCCTCAAATATGGCCCTGGAGACGGAGACGGTTGAACAGCATGTTCTACTTCTCCTCAGAGCTGATTTGGCAGCAGCAGGAGCAGATGTGGTACCTTTGTCCAGCAGCTGGACCAGATCAGTGGAGGGGGATGGTTTGCTCAGAGTCTTCCCGGTCGACGTCAGAACCCTGAAGGCGTAACGGACTCCCTTGGACAGGGAGGTGACAGTGTAATTTGTCTCCTTCAGGTTAGATGCCGCAACAGACCACTGGATGGATCCCAGAGGCTGCTGCTGGACCATGAACAGCAACGAGCTGGCATCTGCAAGTACACAGGCTGTTTACGTACGTCATCTGGGTGACAGCCAAAGACAGTGAGGTGCTTACGATCCAGATATAGACATCAAACACATGTGGGCTATAATTGGAAATCTGAGGCTAGCTTACTTTTAAACCTAAACCTGTGGTAGTAAAATATTTATAGGCATTCTTTCTTTGGATAAAACGGTTCTCAGAAATATGCTGAGTAAAGAGCCTACCCAGTGAAGGGTCGAGCCTCTTCGGTCTCTTCCAGCTGAGGGTTATGGTTTTTCCTGTGATGGCCTCAATAACCGGAGGGCCATCCGGAGGGTCAGGAACAATGTCTGATTGAAATAAGCAAAACATTAGAAAGAAATCCTGAAAACTATTCAAGCAGAACTTCAGAACGCTCCCTACCCGTAACGTAGAGGTGAGCGTAGCAGGCCGACTTGCCCACTTTGTTGGATATGACCGCCTTATAGACGCCCCCGTGAGCGTGGCAGGCGCCCCGGATGACCAGACTGTGGACATCCCTGTCTGGAGAACACATGCAAATTTCTCCCTTACTTCCTGCAGGAACGCCTTTTGATCGGTTTGTGATCCGGTCGCCTGCTTACGCTGAGTCATTTTGCGCTCCTCGCTGCTCTCAATGCGTTTGCCATTGTGGTACCAGGCGATGGTTGGGTAGGGCAGGCCGGACACTTTACATTTCAGCACGGCTTCCTTCCCTTCGATCACTTCCACGTCCGCCAGAGGCTTGACAAAATCTGGCATGGTTCTCCTTTCCAACTCGTTTTCCAGAACCTCGGGCTCCTCGGGGATGGATGGCATTTTCTCTAACTTGGCCCTTGAGACAGATCGTGAATCACATAAATTCACAACTTTCAAAGGTAGAGCAGCGTAAGGTGTTATAGGGGAATAACTTCTCTTACATGTGGGAGGAGATGGCAGCCCGTGATTCCTGCACATACAGCTCTGCAGTGCATTCGGACTTTCCGTAAACGTTCTGAGCGACTGCGGTGTAGAAACCCTCCGTGTCGCTGCTGACGTGGGAGATGACAAGTGAGTGACGACCTCCTTCTTGAAGGACGCGAATGTTATCATTCTCTTCCACTCGTGTCTCTGACAGAAGTTGGCAGTGAAACAGAACATTTAAAAAACGTTTTCTTTGATGAGAAGATGGCGGCGGGGGGGTTCTTTTTTTTCTGTTTAGAGTTCAGCATTTCGAAATTCCAACACACACAACCAATATGAAGCTCCTTACCAAAATGCCTCCATGTGACTCGCGGGGCAGGTGATCCGCTCACCTTACAGTCAAAGCGCGCGGTGCGTCCTTCGATGACCTCCAGGATGTCCAGTTTACGAGTGAACAGAGGTTCTCTGGACGGAGCGACTCTCAGGTTTGCGTCTGAGGTCAGCTCCTCTGGAGGCAAAAGTTGTTCTTTGGTAAATGTGTTTTGTTTTTCGGGGGTTTTTTTCCCTAAAAGTACTTCTTTAACTTCCTTTCTCCTCATCAGCGTTTGGGCTTTACCTTTGGCAGTGCTCAGTTTGCAGGTGTATGTCCCACTGTCATCCTCGTGCACTGAATTCAGCATTAGGCGGCACCTAAAAATGCCCCGGGACAAAATGAATGACCCGATTCTCACTGCCGGCCCAACACTATCAGAGCTATTAAAAGGTTCTACAGCCCATCAAAGCACAGGAATTATGTAATATGCTACTTTTTTTCTAGCGTTTGAAAAACGTACAAATGTCTCCGCCAAATTCCAACCCACCTCTTCCCATCAAAATGCATCTTGCAGTTGAGCAGTGCTGGCTGGATGAGCTTCCCGTCAGACAGCCAGTCAACCTCCACATCTGGCGGCCCGGTGATGTGGCACTCAAAGATGGCCGATTCCCCGGCCTTGACCGCTACGTCTTCTGCTGCTCTGGTGATTCTGAGCTCTGTCGGAGCAGCTCGTCCAGAAAACAAACCAAAAACGAATAAATAAATGTAGCAGTAGGAAGGAGACATCCACACAACCGAATCTGATCAAAAAGTGCTTTATTGCTCACCTTTGACTTCTACTCTGCACTCCACCTGCTTGGTTCCACAGACAGGGTCACGAGGGGTCACCTTTAAATGATCAAACCTCGGTTAACTGAATGGCTCCTCAAACCCCCCCCCAACTCTCTGTGCTCTACATCCAACAACAAACTGAAAAGATTTCAGTTGATTTAGTTTTATGCATAATTCTTACCTGAAACAAGGGAGGTTCCCTGAAGGAGACGCCTTCATTCAAGGACGGTGAGTCTCCAACCTCCATCTTCTCCTCCTGAGGACTGAGATATTCTTCATCCGACTGGACTGGACCGCTGACCATCACGGCTGGAGATGGTTTCCCATGCTGCACATGACCAGGTTCTGATAAATAAACATATTTGTCAAACGGCGACATGGAAAATATTGTGAAAACATTCAGAGAATCACTTTGGCTTTAATTCGACAGCAGACGGTTATGTCATTTAACTGCTGAGTCATTACTGAGACTTAAAGATGCAGACATGAACATCACACACAGGAAGTGAGCTGAGCTGAACAGAAAATGGATCAATCCCCCGATCCCTGACCACATCGTTCCCTCATCCCCACTGGAAAAGACTCGTTTCGAGCGCCTTCTATTCGGGGTTTGCTGCTGTCAGAAATGATTCCCTGGAGACGTCGACACTTTCCACTTCAGCTTCGGCCTCAGTTGGTGCATATCGAGAAAAGAAAGGATTGTGAAGACCGACACCAAAACAGGAGAATCTGCTGGCTAAGCAGATTGTCCTGTTTAGGGTTAGACCTGAAACCTGAAAGGAGACGGTCCTAGATGTGAAATACCCTCTGAATGCTGTAGTCGGGTATTCTGTTGAGTTGTTGATATTACAAAGGAAAGAATAAAACGACCTACCTAGACTCAGGTGTCTGAGAGGCGTCTGTGTGCCGGGCAATAAATCCCACAAGTATTTATGTAAACCTGCCATCTCTTATACAACTGTAACAATCCCTTTGCACATTCATCATCTGTTCTGTCCTTTATTTCCCAGCTCTGTCACATCCACGTTACCTAACCCACTGAAGTCAGGGCAGAGTGGATAAAAATAGAACAATACTTCCCCCGCGATTCAAGACTTTCAATTCAGGTCTGGATTTTGATGAGACAAAAAAAAAATAAATGGATATGACATCAAGCTAAGATGATGCACAACAGCCCCCCAAATAGTCAGTCTGCTCCATCACCAGTGTGAAACCCGAGGTGGCGAAAACCTTCCCTGATCTCAGAGGGACATGAAGTAGACGGCAATCTCCCGAGAGAACAAGAGGCCCGGCTAAAAATACCCCCGCAAGCCAGGCTCCGCTGGCCTAATATGGCAGCCGAGGCCTGGAGCCGCTGGCTCACGCACACGCTTCCATCACACTCAGTGCAAGCTCTGCACAACACCAACACATTGTCTACCAACGGCACATTTACAGCAGAAATCCCTTCTTGAAAGGAATTTGTTTTGCTTAATCCTGACCCTGAATGCCAAGGCTGCCTTCAAGTGTCTGAACAAATTGAGAGCAGGAGGCGAGGTCGGGCTTTTATTTTGAGTGCTCACTCTTTCTCTTCCTTGTTGTTTTTTGGTTTTATTGTGTTCCCACCTGGACGGATGGAGAGGGTGGCTCTGCAGGAGGAGGTGCCCGCCGTGTTGGCTGCTGTGACGCAGTACGATCCGGCGTTCTGCGCCCTGAGCTCCTTTATCAGCAGAGTGTGCGTCTCGCCTTCTGTCTGGACTGTACAAAAAGCATCGCTGCGCAGCTCTACGTTGTTCTTCCTCCATGTCACTGAGGGGGGGAACAAAATGTGATGGAACAAAAAGTGATAAAATCAGCAGAGGTGTGCAAAGAATGAGGCTCATTTTGTTATTCACACACATTTTTATGAATATTCATGTTCTTCCTGTCCTGTTTGCAGAAAGAAATCATATGGACGGACGGACGGACGGATGGGGCCCAGCATGTGGACTGTGCTGTACCTGTAATTGGTGGCTTGCCAGTGATAACGCAGTCCAGTTTGACCTCTGAACCAGCTGTTGCCGTGGTGTCCTGGAGAGGCTTCACAAACCTTGGTCCCTCTCCTGGCTCTTCATCAGCAGACATGTAGGAGTCATCAGATGAGCCTCATAGAAGACAAACAGGAAGATTTGGCCCCAAAATGAGTCAATGTTATTTTTTTATTGGTTCCAGTTTGGGTTTTGAGGCCTTTAAGTCAAACAGATTACACTTTACCTATTCCACTATTTTGATCATGTCCGTCCCAAGAGATGCACATTCATCCTTTCTCATCAACATTAAGTTCCAGCAATTAGATTATTTGCATCGTTTAGGACATTGGTGCTATTTTGGTTCACATAAACTTCAAACACACCTTTTTATCGCTTAAGGTCGGTGACTTAATGAACCAAACCGCAACTGTGACAAAACTCCACTGTCTATTTCTGTAATTATTGACACTTTGACCTCTTCAGACCTGCAGTAGCGCAGGATTACCTTACAGACTGTACCAGGAACTTCACACTTGGACATACTGGCGTGCTTTAAAACCCAGTTATATCATTTCTTGATGTTGGGGCCACCACTGAGTCTAACCAGCAGAGACAAGGTTGGCATTTCAAACTACAAACATCCCAGATTTAAGCTGAAGTGGGTCGGAAGGTTTTGGTTTGGCAGTAAAATCTGGCCTCTGGTGTTGAAAAGGTAGCCAACATTACCATTTCTGTACTGAAATACTCGGGAGACAATTCAAATATTTTTTGTTTATTTTAAACATTTCCGTTCTGGATTTGGAAAAACATTGAAGTGTCTCATTAAGACCTACCTTCCTCTGCAGACATTGGCTGTCCTTGCTTGGTTCTGCGTACCCTTCGTCGGGTTCGGTGTTTGCCTTTGTTGTCATCTGTCGGACCTTCCTCCTCCATGGGCTCGTCCTCCACCAGGATGGTGGGGATGCTGACTTTCAAAGCCAGAGAGCCCCGTCCCACCTCAGCCCTCCTCTTCTTCAATAAGGGGCTAACCGCAGGTGGGAGTGCCGGCGAAGGCCGGTTGGATTCGGGCGGATGTTGGGACAGCGGTTCCACCGACAGCACAGGGGACGATCTCTTCCCGGTTGGGTTTGAAGATCCGTGATGCGATTTGTTTTCCATCTTGGTGTCTGTGTTTGAATGTGTTCCCGGATCTCTGGAGGAGGACGAAGGCTTGAAGGAAGTGGGAAGAAGTGTGTGTTTGTCATCTGCTGGTGAGCTCCGAAGAGTTTCACTGGGCGGATGGAAAAAGAAACGGTTGCATAACACTTACAACTGTGAAGAACAATATCCATGACTACAGCTTGAGAGATTTTATGAAGAAAACATCTTCAGTGCCTCGCAAAAGTGTAGCGTTCTTTTAACCTTCCACGTTTGATCAAGTCACAAACATAGATTGCCACCTCGCCGAAAGGTCTAAAGTGTGAGGAAAACTACATTGCTGCCACTATGAAACAAGGTAATGAAACAAGGTGGTGGCAGTAACATCCTATGTCTTCCTGTTTGAAGCTTCTTCAGACACAAATATGCAGTCAGAGCTACAATATAACGGTTTAGAGCAAAGCATATGTAGGAAAGGCCTAGACAAAGCCCCGACCTAAACCCAATACAGAGTCTTTGTCTGTTGATCACAGTAAGTAACCTGAAAATAAACTAATGTTTGTGACAAAAGAGGATTTGAAGACTTTTGGTTGGGACAGTGTAGTTAGACAAACATATAAGAATTAAAACATCAAATCTGCTCAAACCTGTTTAGACTCTTCCTGGCTGCTGTTGCCAGTGGTTGTCCTGGCAACTGGTGAACTGCTTCCGTTTCCATGGCAACCGCGCTTTTCCCGATGCTTTCTCCAGATGAGCCTCCAGGCGTCTGTGCCACATTGTCCCAACGAGGATTCTCCCTCCGACGTTCTAGAGGTCCGCCGGGGAGCGGTGCAGGAACCTGGGGTGTCCCGTCCCGATCCCCCTCCAGAGCCCGCTCCCTGGCCTCCAGCTTCCGCACCACATGCTGAGGAATGGGCTCTATTTTCCCCGAGTGGATCCTTTCCTTCTGCGACAACTGCTCTGTGGAGTACGCCTTCTTCAGGCTGGATTTCCCCACAAGTTTCTTGATCCTCTGGAGCTCCTCGGCAAACTTGTTCTGGTAGCTCTGAACCCTCTGGGAGTAGGTGGTCTTGTCCTCCAGTGAGGAGGCCCGCTGCTGGAATGCTGCTCTCTTTTGGGCTACTCCCTGCAGGACTTTCCCCTCCTCCTTGCCGGGGCCTCCTGTCTTCTTTCCGCTGTCATCCGAGTCCACGGACGCCGCCCCTCCTGGCAGATCCACACTCCTCCTTCGCTCCTCAAAGGCCCGCACCTTGTCAAAGATCTTGGGTCCGGCACGAGCCAGCTTCGGAGTCATGATAACGTTGCCAGTGCCAGAAGTCTTAGAAGCTTCGGGCTCTTCAGTTTTGTCTTTGTCAAGGTTTTTGATTAATGCTGGCTGGGCAGAGGATGGGAAGACATGAGAGGAGATCCCCCAGGATTCCTCAGGAGTTTTGTTCCTACAGGAGTGAGGATTTGGGGGGAGACGAAGTTGTGGAGTTAGAGATCAAGCAGTTTTCAAGGATTTGTTGGAGCTGAGACGATGCTGATGAATGTCTGTTTGAGTATTTCAAGTCCCAGGTATCTTACGTCACAGTCAAAACACAGCAATGTGAGATTTTAAAAGAAGCAAATGATAGACCGGACTCCCTAAGTGTCTACGGTAATCCAGAAAGAAAAAAAAACGTTTTTAAGCACAAACTCATCCAAAAAGCGAGGAAAACGACTGAAATCATGCCCAGAAAGAACCTGAGTCGTTGACTCGTGAAAACATTCATGCTAATAAGAGCAAAGCATGCATGTCACCGCAAACTCAGAGAGAATCCAAATGTGAGCTCCTGCTCTAGAAAACTTGCAAAACCACAGTTTTTGAAAAGCCCTAACCTGTTAGAAATGAGTCAAGTAGTACAAATGTTGCACAACATTTCTTCCTTAAAGGCTTGAATTAATATGTACAGCATGAGTAGAGATAGAAGCTTCAAATGAGATGAAATCAAACCACATATCAGACAAGTCAAAGGAAAGTGTGATCAGACCGAAATGAAGGCAAGAGAATGGAATGAAAGGAACAAATGGATCGATGGAGGATAGAATACTGTGCAAAGTGTCAATTTGGGATTTGAGGCCAGTCCTTTAGTGGAATCTTGGAAACAGAGAGCCATGTGCTATAAGGGCATGGAAAATGTTCTCCCTCTGTAGAGGCTGAACATGCTCCCATAGTAGTCGCTTCCGACAGAGACACTTTCCTCTGACCCCTGCACGGGCCGAGCCAGGTTAGCATGAGACGCCCGGATTAGAGGTTCCACGCCCAGGTGACGGACGGGGGCCACCCCCTCAGCGGGGCCCCCGCCGAAGCCTTGCCTTGCTGGGTTTGTGGGGTCCAAATGCGGCCCCGGCGGGCGGGAACCCAGAGCCCGGAGCTCCCGCTCCACCACGGGGTCGTAGGTGCCGGGGAGCGTGGCTCTGCGATCCGAAGCGTCCGGGTTATAGTCCATCATCCGTCCTCCTTCGCCTGCAGTCAGAGAGCGAGAAACTGGATGAAAACTGAGGCCTGGGTTTCATTCAGTTCAATATCATAGTTCCCAACAAAAGAAGGGAAATCCATTCATTCCGTGTTGATCCTCGTTATAAACTTGCAAGAAATTAAATCTTTGCAAGAGATTTTGTGGCGATTTGTACTAATTTAGGAACACCAGCACAGTGTTGGTTTCAAATATCTGTTATCCAATTGAATTTTGCCTCATCGCCATACCTTCCTTATGGCAGAGACACATGCATACAAGGTGCTGCTTCCTGTTGGAAACTGGGGCAGTGTGCCACACCATGGCATCACAAGGGATTAGTACGTATTGGATTTCACCCGACAACCTCCATTAAATCTATCAATCCACACTCAAGCATGATTTGGTACAAGTGTGCTTTTGGCTGCTCTTCTGGCAGGGCAATAAATCCTCAAGAAAGTGACTATAAAAAAATAAAAATAAAAAAAATGTTCCCAGAGATGTTAAATTTGCAAAGACTGCAGTCTGGAACAACGTTTCGTGAACAGTGGCGGCTCGAAGCCATAAATATTTATGCGTGCAGCGCCAAAAGGGAAGCCGAGATGCTGGATGTCTGGTTTTAAAAAGTGTTGGAAGTGGACAAAAGCATGAGAGGGAGCTAAAAGCAACTAAATACCCGATGGTCCTTTCCGTCCGGCTTTGTCTTGGTGCCTCCCGGGCCCTTCCTTGGTCTCCATCTGAGGTTCAGTGGTTTCATCTTCTGTCGTCTCAGAGTCTGAAATCGTGCGACAAGAACAAGAAAATTACACAACTTAAAAATAAAAAGCACTTTTTTTGTTTTGTTTTTTTATGGTTCCTTCAAAAGAGTCCTGAATGTACATGAAATGGATTCAAACCAAACTGTAACGAATCCACAAATAGACGCAAACACGAAGTGACGAGATGCAGAGTTTATATAGCTGCAGCTAAATGTAGCTGCATGAAAACTGGAATTTTATTAAATGTAAAAAGAAAAAAGAAAAAAAAAAGCCCATAAAGTTGAGAAGTAAAGCTCAGATCTTTATGATCTTTGAACTGATGGGAGAATAAAAGTTAAATAAACCATCTAATGAAGCAGCTAAAGTCGCTTTTCAGGCTTGTAGTGTTTAAATGCCAACTCGATGCCAACACAGTCTGAAAAAAAAAAATTCAGTATCTAACTATATTGAATAGTTATAGTTCAGTAACAAGAAATAACGAGACACAAGAAATAAATGTAATGAGCCAGAATCATTAAGAAAAACTGAAACCAAAATCATCTCATCAAAGACAAAAGTAACACGGAATAATAATAAAACTAGAACCAAATAATCAAAACAGCCCAGAATCTGACAGGCTTGGCCAGCCAATCGGCTTCTTAGGCTCCTAATGTTATTGTACGACAAAAAGCAAATAGAAAATAGCTCTTTAATATTTCAACAATATGTTGAAATATTAAAGGTTGTCGATAAATATTCAGGGCCACAATATGTGCCATGGTAATAAAAAATAAAAAAACAGCCCACAAGTTAAAGGTCAGTCAGTCAAAACAATGATGGATGGATGGATGGATGGATGGATGGATGGATGGATGGATGGATGGATGGATGGATGGATGGATGGATGGATGGATGGATGGATGGATGGATGGTGGATGGGTGGATGGATGGATGGATGGGTGGGTGGGGTGGGTGGGTGGGGATGGTGGATGGATGGATGGATGGATGGATGGATGGTTGGATGGGGATGGATGGATGGATGGATGGGTGGGTGGATGGATGGTGGATGGATGGGGTGTTGAGGTTTACCATAGCTTTGCTTTCGGCAGGAGCGGAAAACTTCGCTTCCATAGTGGCAGCAAGAGAGGGCAGACGGGAGAGCACCGTTACTATGGAAACCAGCATCTCTCTCACCCACACGACCAATCCTCTTCGTACCCATTAGAGTCTAAAAATCACCAGCCACACTGCTGGGTGGCTGACAGATATGTTTACTGGTTAGAGAGTCTGCAGGAGAGGAGGAGGACGACAACCACAAAATGGGCTGCACCTCATTGCGCCTCGCAATCGAGTCAAAAATCCCGACTAGATCATTGCACGACTTCAAGAAAAAGAACAATCGCGTTTAAAAAGAGCGTGCCTTTTATGGCTCTGAGTGTGCAGATCCACCTGTCTGAATCTCATAAAGTTAAACACATTGCAGAGAGAGCAGGGAAAACTGCCCCGACGCTGAAGGTAAAGCGTATAGCTGGGATTGGATTCTGAATGAGATTCGGAGTTAAAGCATCTGCTTTTGGTTCGGGTCATCAGTTGCACAAACATTCCCAAATATTATGGCACGAATCAGAAGGGATAGATGTTTTCCACTTGAGGATTGTGCTTTTGCAAAGAGGCAGCAGTGCGATACAAAAATACCATTTTGTGGGGGTGGATGTACAACTACAAAACCCACTTGTGTGCAGCTAAACAGCAAAACATACAAATAAACTCAGGCAATAAAGAGTTTCATATACCAAATGATAACTGCTGGAGGAAACATCATGCTGATGAAGGCTAAACCGAGGAGAACAAAAGGCTACAGTGGTTTTCCAACAGAACGAAAGAGAAATAAACGAGAAAAAGAAAGAAAAGAAGCTGTAGGTGCGGAGAATAAGCTCATACTGACAACACACCATGGGTGAATCTGCCAAATGTCCGGGTGGAATGCCCAGTTCTCTGAAACAACACACAAAACCACAATGTGTTAGTCAGCAAATTACTTAGAACTAAATATGCTCCTGTTTACAGAAGTGGAAAGAGAGAACACACAATGAAATATTCAGTAATTTCAATTTTTATGTAGATATAATTTTTGACATCTGCCTGAGGAAAATTTCCCCCAATCCTCACTCTCAGCTATGAGATGTTTTTGCTAGCAGGTAAGCTAGCACTATAGCTTCCAAGAGTAAGCTAGCACTATAGCTTCCAAAAGTAAGCTAGCACTATAGCTTCCAAGAGTAAGCTAGCACTATACCTTCCAAGAGTAAGCTAGCACTATAGCTTCCAAGAGTAAGCTAGCACTATAGCTTCCAAGAGTAAGCTAGCACTATAGCTAGCTTACTATAGCTATAGCTTACTAGCTATAGTGCTAGTAAGCTAACACTATAGCTTCCAAGAGTAAGCTAGCGCAGTAAGCCCTCAATATGAAAAGGAGGGATTGAACATTAACACTCTGTTTTATCTTTGTTCTTAACTCTTACTTTAAAGCAACAAATAAAGTAGTTCTTTATCTTGTTCTGTTGTGTTGACAGAATTCACAAAAAAAAAAAAAAAAAAAAAAAAACAGGAGATGTCCGGTTTGATTAGCTGGCAACAGTTTGTTACAGAATCCGCTACATTTAAATTGCTTGGTGTGGTAGCATAGTTTTTTTTTTTTTAACTTATTTTACATTTGACAGAAAAACAAAACCAGCAGAAGAGGGAATAATTTCCAAAGTGTTCTTGGTGCCAGGATTAGCCAGCATTAATAAGCTTCAATAAACAGACACCTGGAATAGATTACTCAACACTGAATACAGATTCTTTTTTGTACAGCTCTGCTGTATTAGCAGCTTCAAATTCTCAGCATTGGACATGCGACTGTAAAAAGATCAGATGAGTCCCTATAAAGCAAACGAGAACCCAGTCCTCCAGGCTGTAGCTGGGTTTTTTTTTTTTTTTAAAGAGCAGCCATGCTGATAAAGCAGCTGAAAAGATTCCTTTCTGGCCAGGCTGTCAATCAGCTCCACAGAGAATGACTCACTGCTTTTCAGTGGACAGAAAGCAAAAGTAGCAGAAGTGAAATGACTCACTTCACACTTATCCCCCCCGCACCCCTCACTCCAGTCCCAATGATTGCTGCTTTGCTTTTTGAGTCGTTCCAAGTAATTTGATTAACTGCCGTTTTGACACATTCTCCTATAAGCTTCTGTCTTTGTCACGGTTCCCTTTTTGTTATGTTCCCGAAGGGATCGTATCAGCGAAACCCAGCCTCGGATTTGGGAACATTTGGATTCGGGTTGTGGGGGAACAATCCAGATTCTGTCAAGTAGTGGAAGAGCGAGAAAGCACATTTAGTCTGGATGAAGAAGCAAAGCGAGCTTCAGCAGCATCCTGACCCGCCGCTTTTGCTCACTTTATCCTTGTGCATCGCTGGCCTGGTTCCCAAGTCTCCACAGAGCGTAGCCTACTGACACACTTTCTCATCTGCCCCAAATTTGTGAAACCTGAGCAAATGAATTAGTTATTATTGCAACAGAAATCTCTAAGGACTGCTGATTTTTTCATGTTGGGAAGTAGAAGCAGGAAATGTGGAATTAAGACCTTGGAGACAGACTGTCCTTTTGAAGGGGACGGCGCGGGGTGTTGAACTACCTTCCCCTTGAATTTCAGTTCCTAAACCAAGGTTTTTCTGATCACAACATTCATCCACCGTTTCAACACTCGTGCTTTTCTTTTTTCCCCCCTCAGAACGGTCTACATAAACCCCCAGAACCTTCCCGAAAATCAATCGTTCAATTCACATTTACTTTAATCTGTTTTCGATTAGAAGCACACATATAAGGAAAAAGGGTGTGGCATGTCTTTTAAGAATTATCCTAAAAATGTATCTATAAAACACAACATTGATTGATTGATTGATTGGTATTGCTCCAAACAAAATGAAGCAAACTCACCTGAAATCTTTTCTTGGACCAGATCTTCTTCATCTTCAAGTGGCCCCTCGCTTCAAGCAAAATCAGATTACCTGTGGCTCCAGTTCACAAAAACAACCTTCCCTCAGAAAAGAAACGGAAATGAGGAGCTGTCGGGTGTGGTGTGAGGATCAAGATTTGAGGAGGGGGGTACGAAATAAAGGAGGATGCGGCTGTGTGTTTGTGCGTGGGCGTGTTTCTGCTCCGATCTGGACGCGAGGCGGGGAGAACGGCGGCGAGAGCAGAGATGCTGGTGTCTTTGTGTCCGAGTGTTTATCTGCGAGGAGCGTCTCTCTGTGACGTCGGGGGCTGCTTTCTCCATCGACCCCCACTTTCTGCCTGCTCTCCCTCGTTCGAGGGCGCACTTAAAACAAGACGGGGTGGGGGGCCGGCGAGAGGCGTTGGAGGGAGGCGGAAATCACAGCCCAGTGCGTGCATGGGTCTTCTCTTGATTGCACCGACGAAAGAGGAAAAATGCGAGGAGGAAGAGAGGAGAGATACAGAACACTGGGATGCACTGGAGTGTGGGGATGTGTTTTTTGCCGGGTGGCAGGACGGAACGGTGGGGATGAAGAGCAGTAATGGGGAAGGGGAATTACCAGAGAATAAAAAGGGGCCAGATTCTTTCGAAATATAGATTCAAAAGAAACCGCTTCACCAATTCCCTCTGAAACCTTCTTCTCCTCTGGCTTTGTTGTCCAGCAAAAAGCAGAAGTCATCAAATAAGCATCTACCATGTTTCCTCTCTGTTAAATTGTAACTAGTGATAAGATCACAGTCTGAGGCATCTGGAGGAGTAAGCAATTATTGCAAGCAGATTCCATCCCAAACTCCTGGTGGATTGTTATGAAAAACAGATCAATAACGGTTCAAATCAATATGGAGGAAAACTAGTGAGACACCAAAAGAAAAAGACATGGCCCGGTTTCACAGTGAGGCGCAAACCGATTTGCTCATCAAACAAGGTGGCGATAAAATCCACGAGGTTTGTGCTAATCGGGCTGCAGGATGCTAATCAAAGCCTGCAGAGGTGGGAAAGGTCAAGTGCAAACTTTTTTTTCTGCAGTGTGAAACAAATTGTTGTTGATGACTTGATGTTAATCAGGAGAACAAGCTGAATTGGTATTACTGAAGTATACAAATTCAGAACTCCCATCATTCACTTTGCTGAACAAAGTTGTTTTCCGCCGTGATCAAGTGATTTCTGTTTCTGTTTACGGTCTTGTAAACACAGGATCAATGCGAGACTCGCTCCCACCGTGAATCAAGAGCCGTTCTGCCGACCTGCATGTTTGCTCCAGTCACCAACTCCATCCTGTCCGTTTCTTTTCCCTGGAAACGGATTTTGATTTGACCGATTCGCCGGATCCTCCTGCAGATGGAGCGAACCGCAGCCTCCAAATGTTATTTTAACCAACCCCCTCCTGCTTACCTCCGTCCTCCTCCATCCATCAGCAGCCAGAGCCACTCACTCCAGCAGAAAGTCAAGCGATCAATACCAATGCTTTATGCGTGATATGGGATACACCCCCAAAGTAGCAGTTCCAACGCCCCTGAATCAATAAGCCCATCATAACACACGCATCGGCCAATAAAAGACTAATGTGCCTGCAAAGGGCAGATTCTGAGCCACAACAAGCCAGTTTTAACCAGTTTCTGACATGATATTATGGATGGCAGCCATTAAGAGAAAATAACTTGATTTCTGTGTCATTTATTAATCCCTGAATCTGAGAGCAGCACTTAAGACGTCAGAGCCACAAGCCTGCTGCTTGGAGGCAGAACCGGCCGGGAGACGAACCGAGCCTGAAGGCGGGTCCTGACAGGCGCAGTTAGCAGTGCGTTACACTTTCATTCGCTTAAAACAACAAGGAGGGGCATAGACTTCACGGAAAGCCATTGATTTAGTGACCGGGGTTGCTTTGTGAGGAGCGACTGTGATGGAGGCTTTCCAGGCACGCGGCTTTATCAGCGGCAGGCCTGCCGTAATCTGTGCTTTTATGTATTTCCCATTGTATAACACAATAAAGTAACTATGTTACCTTCAGTTATGAAAACGCTGAATGTATCAAACATGACTTAGAAGACATTTGACTTTGCATCAACCATGTCTGACGCTTAAAAACTGGGCTTCTGTCTCTTTAAGAACCTCCCGCTCTTTTATGTGATCACAACGGCGCTTAGGAGCTCAGCAGTTGGGCCATTGGACTGGGTGTCTGCTCAGTGCTGCCGCTGGTTTGGAGGAGTTTGGGGTAAATAAGTAACTCATTGATACAGCCTTTATATATTCAAAACAATTATCCAAATGTATATTTGTGGCCTTCAATCAAGCTGACCCTTTTAGTGAATCCATCAAACCACTGAAAACGCAACGCTGTCCTTCAGCTCAGCATACAGTGAAAGCCAGCTTTGAACCTCAGAGTGGCAGAGGCTGCTGTTGATAGTGACAGTGCAACCCGATGCTACCACCTAATCCCGATCCAATCCCCCAGGATTCCTGTGGATGGCCGCGTTCCGCCAGAACACAAACACACCAATTGCTTCAAATGTTGCCTCAGCTGAGAATCTTATCAGGCGTGTTGCAGCCCTTAATCCACTTTACTTTGATGTGTGCAGAATGTGAAATCATCTGTTGGTCATTTCTATTTCCATTGTTTCAAAAGCTCACAAGTGAAGAGATTTTTAAATCGTATCCAGTAACCAAAACGGTGAGGTAATATCTGACTGCTGTCCCACTCACCTCTCTGTTTCTTACTTCTTGGCCCACTCAAGCCTTCACCGGCGCTCCTCAAAGACTTCCGTGCATCCAGCAGCTCCTTCCGGAACATGACTCATCTTTTTCTCAAACAGGACAAAACCTTCTGTCTCCTTCTTGCCACAATAACCATTATGTCCATCGGTGGCTTCCTTTAAAAGTGACTTCAAGGCCGTTTCTCCTTCACGCCGTCATCCTTTCTTGCCCTCACCTGAAGTCCCATCTCTCACAGCCAGCGTTAGCGGCTCTATTTCAGGTCCAGTGTAGTACAACCCCCCCGAACCCCAGACCCACCCACAAAACTGTGAGTGCTTACAGAGTAACTGAGTAATCCTTAAATAAAATATTCTATTTTCTTAGATTTCTACATCAAGCAGAGATAATGGTGATCATATTAGTTCTAGGAAAAGTGTTACTGTTGCAACAAGGTTTTCATACAGTTAGATTGTTTTATCAGAGAGGGTGTGAATTTTCTAGATTTGTAATATAAAAAAAAATACAAGAAAGATGTTTTAAAATGAAGATGTGTCTTGATACATTGGGAAACACGTGAGTGATAATTCAGTATATAGTTTAGATATTCATAAGCCACAAGCCGAGCATAGAGCTGGAAGAGTCATGGTTTATTCACACGTGGCACATTCTTCACATCTCGAATGACGAGACAGCGATCAATCGAGTAGACTAACAGAAAGAGATTACTGTGTGATCTTGATGATCCACGGTAGAATGCGTGATGACACATCAATCTGCCGTTTCATACGAGAAAGTGGAAGCTGAAGCAGAAATGGGCCGTTCTATATGACCGCGAACAAGATGATACCAGTAACTCCACGGAAGACTGGCTGAAAACCAGGAAATGAGAAGTCCCGATCCCAGCCAGCGTACAGTTCTTGATCTCATTGAGACGTGGTGGATTGCACAGCCCACAAACCCTTCAAACATCTACAGCTGGATGTGAGGAGAGCGGGACCTTCCTCAGGTTGTTGTCAGAGACGGAATGAAAAGTTGACACGCAGAAATCTACCGACTTGTACGCATTAGAAACAAGTCCTCTCTGCCACCCTTCAAGAATTCACACCTTATTTTGAAATGGACAGAAAATAGATTCAAGAGTCGAGTTCAGACAGCGAAAACTAATATCACATGTACCCATTCCCAGGAAAGACACAAAGACAGTGGGCTTGAGAAACAAAGATAGACTCAAAGACAGAACAAAGGACTCAAGGATGAAAGAGATGGACACAAGCAAGATAGGAAGGAAGCACACAAGGACAGAAGGAAAGACAGCATAGGAAGGATTTTGTGAAGTAGGAATGACTTCAAGCCTTCAAATCATTGAAGGAGTGAAGTACTTCAATGACTTCAATTGTTGAAGTCATTGATTGAAGTCATTGAACACTTCAATTCATTGAAGATTGAAAAGAAAGAACAGTAGAAGGAGTGGAAAAAGGAAGGACACAAAGAAGAAAAAAGGACACAAGGATAAAAGGGAAGACAGTAAGAACTACTCAAGGAAGTCACAAGAACAGAAGGAAGAGCAGGAATGGCTTGAAGATTGAAGGACACGAGGAAATAGGGAGGGAATTAAATACTGAAGAAAGGACTTGAGGGTGAAAAATGGAGTTCAGGATAAAGAGAAAGGTTAAGAGCAAAAGAGGAAAGTATAAATCTTATGTCTAGAACTGGAAAGTAGCATCCAGACTTTTCCAGACTGCAGCTGAGCTCTCATTCGTCCTCAGACTGACTCTGGGTGACGCTCGGCTCTTCAAACCCGACCCCAGCAGACACACCAACAAACATCACGGCCTCTTTTTCATCACGCTGATCGTGACGGAGTGTGACGGTAGGCTATAATTATGTGCCATTGGAGAAGCGGGGGATACGGCGGCGGCCACACATATCACCGCAGCATGAGCGTCGGGAGCTGCCACGGCACATACCAGTCTATAAATAACCACAGGCTGAAGGAGAAGAGGGAGAAGTATGAGGCAGCCAGGGGTTGGAACAATAAGAAAACAGCTAAAGCCTCGGAAATCGATGTAGCCGTCCCTCAGCTGCTGAATTAAAAGGCAGGGTTTGGTCCAAATTGCTCAGAGCAACAAGTGAAAATGGACAGACTTAATAAACTGCCTTTGAGAGAATAGAACTCAGATGAAAGTTGCATTAAATTATGATTTAATTTAATAGACAAACACAATGTAGCACTTTCATTGGCAAAATGTTGCATTTTGTCCACATAGATAAACACGGTGGTGGCAGGCTAATGCTGTGGTGCTTTTCTTCAGCACAAGGAAGCTGGTTGGAGTTAATGAGAAGTATTTCTGAAAGAAAACCTCATAAAATGGCCTAGTCAAAGTCCAGGCATAAGCCTAATTGACAATCTGTGACAAAGATTGTTTGTCAAAATGCTCAAAATACTTTGAGCATTTGGACTCTTAAAAAGCGCTTACCTTCACCTAGGTCCATAACAGCCAACACTGCGCTACAGCTTGCCTCTCCCAGGTCATTGGACGCCACGCAGGTGTACAGGCCAGCGTCGTCCGTGTGGCAGTCCCGGATCCACAGTCCTCCTGAATCTTGGGCTTCTGAGGGGGGAATCGGCTCATCGTTGTGGTACCATGTCATCGAAGGTTTAGGATGTCCTGACACTGACACCCTGAGACGGATATCACAACCTGTTCCCACTGCAGCCTTACGGAGCTTGCGGATGAAAACGGGAGCTGCCATTTCTTGAGATCCACCTTCATGATTCTGGAGATTTTGTGCGCCTTTGGTTTTGGCCTTCTTGGAGGGGACGGTGGAACAGGGACTCGACTGTGAGCGGGCTGCCATTTTGATTCCCCTCGGAACCTCCTTCCAAACTTTCCCACTTCTCTGGTTATTGACAAAGGTATCGAAATGAGTTGCATTTATTAAACATCTCGTCTGAAAGACTTTGCTGCTTTAGGCATCTGCTTGTCTTTATAGGTGCTGAAAGTGGACCAACACACCGGGATGCTGCAATGACCAAAACACACATACACTGGCTTTACTGTGCAATAAAGCAACATTACTCATCACCTGAGACTGGTTACTCATTCAGACTAAATTAATGAGCTTCCTTCTGAGTCCTTACAATCAAAATTCCTTACAAGTGAACTAAGGAAGTTTGTGTTTGGTAGATTTTTTGTTTGTTTGTTTGACTCAACTTTCTTAGTATCCTTGAAAAAAGGAAAACCCAATTATATATATATATATATATATATATATATATATATATATATATATATATATATATATATATATATATATATATATTTATTTATTTATTTATAAATTTTTTGTTACTCAATTTTTTTGTCCCAATTCCATTAGGAAATATTTATTTTAGCCATTATGGTAACATGTAGATTTTAGGTAATTTTAGCATGCAAGATGACTTTAGAATAATTTTTAGCAAGGTTTGAATAAGTAGAAAACAAAATGCTATTAGCACTGTAAATGTGATATGTAAATAGACCTACTTAGCAGTAAGTATTGCTGCTAGGTATAGCAGCAATATTTGCTGCTATACTTGCTATGTAGTTACCACTGTTAGCCAACATGCTAATGTAAAAAGGTTACATAATGTTGACATTTTAGTAAGTGTTACCCATTTCTTTCATTTGTTATTCTGTAGCTAGAACTAATAGCAGCGAGCAGCTTGTCTTAGCCCTTCCCACATTGGCAGCACCTGCTTAAACTTCTGTTTCTCTTGACACAGAATATTGGGGAACAGACTTCAAAGAAAATTCACGTGAATTGTTTACACTAGCTTTAGCATGCGTGATGCTTTTAGCCTCGTACATGACATAATAGTGCACTTAGCAACATGCTAAGGTGAGCGGGTTAGCTAATGTTGACTTTTTAGCCAACCAGGTGTGTTTTAATCTGTTAATGATATGCGGTTGGAAATGATAGCAACAAGCAAGTTGTGTTGGCCGATTTGACATTAGACATTTACACTAGCTTTAGCATAAAGGATGCTTTTTGCCTTTTAGCTAACTTGCTACTGTTAGCCAACCTGCTACTGTTAGCCAACTTGCTTTTACAACAGCAGTAACAATGTAAACTCAAACTAAGGTGAGAGTTATGAAATGGTCTACAATGGAATACAGACCTCTGTACAGTAAGCTCATCTCATTGAACATGTGATTTAATCTTCAGTCGGCATTTTCCAAACATCCTCCAGGCTTTCATCACAGGATCTGTAGCAAACTGCAAATAGACAGGCTGACGGGTGTCCGAGCTCCTGACAGGTGGATTTTCAACCTTTTAACCTTTAGCATAAACTTGTTTGGTCAGAGGAAACTGGAAACCCATTTAGTCTGTGCTGTGATAGTTTACGACAAACATATCTCGATTGAAGTTATTTTATTTGCAGCATTACATTAACCGCCATATATTATGTTTGTGTCAAAATGAAGCACACAAGGAAAACAACTAAAGTGAACAACTATCAGCAAATCGAGTTCAAAAGATAATGCCATTTTAGTCCTTTACTGCTCATTCTACCAATATGGTGAATCAAAAAGTAATCTTACCTTAGTTTTGCTCCAAAGGCTGTAAGAAATTCCTTTGGACATCCCCACGAAGTCCAGGTTAGGGTAACAAGAGCCAAATATTTCATCTCAAAGCATTTGTCCTTTAGGTGTAAGTCCACCTAAGATCATGAAGCATTAGCAGCCACTGCCATGGTTCCCTTAAGCAGCTTTAACCCTGCTGAAGAACTCCCAGAAAGGGAGGGAGGTCATTTCCCTAAATGTCAGTCCGCTCAGGCCTTCTGTTTTATGTCGTTCCACCTTTAAGGACTTGCTGAAAGCGACACTTTGAATCTTTTTAGGCTTCCAGGTAGTTAAATAAGCTCATCTTAACCATCTCCCTTCAGTGTTGAGGCATCACCCCCACCAACCTCCATCAGGTTGGGGGCGACAGCTGCACATATAGGTCACATTTCTTGGACTGCCTTTTATGACCTACTCTCTCTCACACACACACACACACACACACACACACACACACACACACACACACACACACACACACACACACACACACACACACACACATGCACTTCCAAGCCTGTTAGATTGTACAGTACTTGTGGGGTCTGGGTGTAAGTGGAAGGTGGAGACAGTCAATGTGGGACAGTTGGAGTTTCTACAAAAAGAGAACCTAAGAATAAAGACAGTACTTTGGGATTCAAAGGACAATGATATAACTTAACTTAGGATTGTTTTCTTTCCCCTCCTTGCCATTTATATGGCAAGAAGGTTGATATGCAAGTTGACAACCTTTAATAATTTATAATACAGCCATTATTAGCAACTGGTTAGTACTGTAACTTTTTCCACCTTTCATTGAATTCTAACCACAAACTTCAAAATGAAGAAAAGTTGCACGTGAAAAATACATACAAATATTCAATTTGTTTTGGTGAGTTTAACCCTTTAAACATATCTTAACATATGCCCAGTACTTTTGTGAATAACTAAAAAAATAATAATAATTTACAAACACTTGTGTGTGACATGCACACACACACACAGATTTATTACTGCAGTAGTAAAGAACCCTTGCAGAAAAGTAAAAAGTGATCAATATTACACTCTCTGAACAGGAACAAGTTGCACCATCTGGGGGGAAAACTGAAGAAATAATTGTTGGGTTGAAGTTCAAACTGAAATTTCAACATAAAGGAATGTTTTAAGTATGCTTCAACAAGTGCGGTCCTCGCCTATTTTATTTGTATTCTTTTCTGATAGGTGTGAAGGGTCAAGGAGAGAAAGGGTGCAACTCCAAATATGACCACAGAGGTCGCTGTTCAGCAACATTAGCTAATTCTCACATCAAAAGGCATTTTACTCAGCTCTTATTTCCAGCATTTCCATATATTTGAACTTTGTCTCAGTTTTTGAAATTATGACAATTGTTAAAATTGACGTTAAAAATTAGTTCCACACTGAAAAAAAACAAAATATGTTCTATCAGCAGATAGTTTCCTGAACAAGATTGCGAGAAATCTGAAATTTCAAAAAGCTGATGAAATGAAAAGCCTTTTCTAAACTTTTTTTTTAAGTGATCAAATGTATGCTTAAAGCAATCATCTTACTAATATTATACAGTAAAAGGATGACGTCTAAAAAATAACTGCTGAAAAGCAAACACAGTGTAGCCTCTCATCGCTCAAGGCCACGCTTTGCTATTGTTTAGAGACAGAAAGCTCCTGCCTGCAGACAGATTAGCGGCTGAGCCCAAACAACAACGTGTGAACAGAGACGGTCTCACAGATTCGACATGATGTCCTGGTCCGTCCTCGTTCTGGGGCCTCTCTGGATCCAAGGTCTGCTCCAGGTCTGCACTACGGAGAAGCTGCCCAGAGGGGTACTGGTGTCCTGGTTCAGGAAACGGGTTCTGGAAGGCCTGGGCCTGTTGGAGCCTCCGGCACCTGCAGCACAGAAAGGAGCAGAGCCAGAGACGAGGCAGTGGGAGGGGAGGGTGCCCAGGACTAACAGAGCAGTCCGGGTCAGTTGGCAACCCGGCCCGGGTCAAGACAGATCTTAAGTGATTCTGTTTCCAAGTCCAGGTGAAAATGATTCATGTCCTATTAGAATGAGTTTACCAGTTCAAAATGTTGAGTTTAATGTTAAAAACTAAAAGCTTTAAGATACAGAAGAAATTAACACATCAATACATGAAATATTTTCCAGCTGCACAGCTTTTCTGTGATGTCATGGTTGTGCTTCATCAGATATAAATGTTGGGCATCATTTGGTGTTCAGTGATTCGGTTTTCCTTTTCCCAGAAGGCGTTGAGCTGTTTGTGTATCCAGCGGGTTTTATGTTCATTTCTATCAAGTCTCAGCACAACAGCAGATGTTTGAGGACAGAATTAAACCTTCACCCGATTTGTATTCAGACCTGTTATGCCACACCTGACCACCAGATGTCAGTAAAAGCCCGATGTTTGATTTCAGATTCCTCCTGGATCCTGGCTGATGCAGAAGCGAGAGGAAACTGCGGCGGCGCACCGTCGTATCGCTTCCAGCCGTTCATTCCCTTCCAGGTCACCGTAGTATCGTCAGCTCGCTTCTGGTTCTACGGTGGCCCAGCAGTGAACGCTTCGCTGCTGTTTATGCTCACCTTTGCACAGCGGCGACTACAGGCGGCCCGGGGTCCCGCAGCGATCAACCCCGACGGCTGGATCACCTTTGACCTGGACGAGAGCGTCCTGGCTCCTATGGTTGAGGGTCCCTTCCTGCTGCAGCTCCAGAGCTCAACGGGTCAGCGCCGCTTGACGAACCCAAATGAGACGCCGTTTCTCCACCTCCACATTCAGCCCAGAGTGCCTGTCTGCTCCCCCAGAGGGGCCCCGGTCAACATCCTCTGGTCCCCCGCTGCCCTCCGCCTCCTCCAGCGGCCCTCCCATGAAGGGCCACAGCTCCGGGACTGCCGCAGGGAGCAGGTGGAGATCAGCTTCCAGGAGCTGGGGTGGGACAGCTGGATCGTTCACCCCAAAGGACTCACCGTCTTCTACTGCCGCGGGAACTGCTCGGACCATGAGGTCCCTCGGGATCACCACTACGTCTGACGGCGGGTACTCGTTCAAATACGAGACTCTGCCCAACATCATGCCTGAGGAGTGTAGCTGTTTCTGAACATGAGGGGAAGGACGGGCCCCTGGTCACTTTATCAGGAAATATTAAAATACTTTACAAACAAAATATTTCGGTTTCTCAGTGTTGCATCCAACATAGGTTGGTAGGTAAAACCCAATTAAGATCCAGGTCTCATTTAGAAGAGGGACCCATACATAAAGATAACCTGCAGATAAATTTATACAACAATACTTATTTATATTAAGAGGATTATTCTGAGAATTAAGTTTTGAGTAGAGAATCATTAATAGAGCTGCAGCCATTTAAGGTTTTGTCCATATGGATCCGACGCTAAAAACTTGTTCCAAAAATCAAATTTTAAAAATGGAATTTGTAGAACAGATTGATGAAGCTTCATACTGTAAATCAAGTGTTTTGTGTTGCAAACTTCATAACTCCATCCTAATTAGATCACCTTTGAGATTCAAGTTAAATCTTAGCCCTTCTAAAAACTGTACATCAATGTTGATTCTACATGTAAAAAAATGAAGAACGCCATTTAGATTTACAGCACAGTGATTCACTCTGCATCGTTTCCCCGCTTCCTTTCAGCTCAGGATGAGGAGTTGAGACATAGCTCAGCAGAAATCTCTGAAAATGAAACAGTAGTCAAGTTATAAATGTTAAAATTTCAAAGTGAGAACTTTTTTTTTTCCTTCCATGGACAGTACATTTTTTAGGCATATTTAGAGCTTACAGCATGGTGATTTCTACTCAAGTTTGGTTGTGGAAATTAATCACCTGATTCAAACAAAATAGCGTCGCTTTTCTCCCATCTACCCACTAGATGTCACTGTAGGGCATCATTTGCTTCATTTCAAATGAAAAACAGTCGAGAAAAATTGTTGGTCGAAGTTCATTTAACTTCTTAATGCAACAAGAGAGCTGGTTCAACTCTATGGACGTTTATCCAGAGAGAAACAAACACTATGGGAGCAGAGAATTGACTCAAATATATTTATTTACTCTGACAAAATAATCTCTACAGTTACAAAAACAAAACAAAAAACAAAAAAAAAATCTACAAAACTTGCAATAGGAAAAAAGTCAAAGTATTAATCATAAGAGTACCATTCAAAACTGGAATGTTTCTTGCAATCGACGGAAAGTGATATACAGAAACGATCAGTCTGCAGCCGAGGGTTGAGAAGGTAACTATGAAGCTATGGAAAGTTTTGAAGTCCTAAAGCTACAGATCAGAAATCTATTGAACTGAACATGATAAATGACTCCGGTCTGTTCAGAGCAGTTTCATCAGGATGAACTTTTGGCAGCTTGAAAGGGAAAAAAAAAAAAAAAAAAATCCATCTTCTCTGAATACACTGGAGGAACTCTTCTACATTCTACTAGTTACACTGAAAGCTGTTAAAATGAAATTTTAGATGAAAAACATTTCCCATTAATAAAGGATTCAAGCATTGCCCAGGTATACATTTTGGTCAACTGGACTTTCAAACACATATACGTACCAGTTCTGTTGTCTTGGCCAGGATGGATTAAGAAAATCTTGCAAAGAGAAAAAAAGATACTGCAGAATCCAATTGACATAGCCTGAGGTTGTGTCATTTAGGAATCCAAGAGCAACAAGCCTCAACATTCAGTGGCAGTTTATGAGAGAAAAATAGAAAGCACAAACTATTGGCTCAGCCAGAGGAGTTTGGAGCTTTAAGGTCTTAGCTGGATGAGGATTATTGCATGGCTACAAATAAACAGGATATGTGTAAAGATCAGGGCTTAACTGAAGGCACAGTCTAGGTTTGGCAAGCAGAAAAACTCCACATATGGCAGGCTTTCAAGTTTACCATCACACAGATTCTATCAGCAGTTCCTCTGCTTTGCACTGACCACCAATACTGAAAGGCACAAATCTTTCATTCACACAAACGCATTCACACACAAACGCACACTTAGGTCTCCCTCAGTGGTACGACTGCTTTCCTCATGTGTGCTTCCTTCCCGTTCCAACATTTAAGGCCAGTAGGAATGGGAGGACAAGACATCTGAGGCAGGAAGCACGCTCAGGCATGTATTCCTAGGAGGAGGAACAAAAACAAAACCAGTCAACAACTAAGTTTCATCAAATCTGGACTCAAGAGTTAGCTCTTCTAAGCTACCTCCTCTGAATCAGTGTTCACTCCATCAACAGAAATTATGCCCATAAAAATTTCTTCCAATTATCCTGATACATTTGCCAATTGTGCTCAGTCTTAGATCTGATCTTGGTCCAACTCAACGTGTGATAATTACCTTTCTCACTCGACTCTCCTTGCTTTTCTTGTGCGAAATTGAGGCGGTTCTGCTCAGCAGCTGTCTGTACAGCTGTATTCACCTCCGGGCTGCTGCTGCGTGAGGGGCTTCCTTCATCTGCCTGGTATGCAAGATCCAGATGCTGCTGCGCCATCTTCAGATGCCTCCTCAGCCGCTCCAGTTCCCTGGATGATGGACCCTCGTCTCCAAAGCTCTCTCTGCCCGAGTCACCCATTGGCAAGTCCCTCAGCTCTCCTTTTAGCTTCTCCTTCTTCATGGTGGCGTGGTATCCTGGCGGGGCCGTGGGTAAGGAGCGGGACGAGGGCGGACGTGGAGTGCGCCGGGAATTAAGAATGGCACGCCTGCGGAATGTGTCACGGATGCCACCGATGCCCAAATGGAGGATTTCCAGGACAGTGAGGAAAAGGCAGAGGAAGGACACAACGTACATCACCAGCAGGAAGATGGTTTTCTCAGTAGGTCGGGACACAAAGCAGTCCACCGTGTGTGGACATGGGGAGCGAGTACAGATGTAGGAGGGGATCACCTCAAAGCCATAGAGGAAGTACTGGCCAAAGAGGAACGCAATCTCAAAGGCAGAACGCCACAGCAACTGGCATACGTAGACTTTCATAAGTCCATCACGCAGAATCTGTCGTCGACCATCATGCTTCGTTTCTGCACCATGACAGAAAAAAAGCAGAGAAATGGTAAATGGACTGAATTTATTTGATGCTTTTCTAGTTAACTCCAAGCATTTTACACTGGAGCCAACTTCAAACATTTGCAATGATGTTGTCCAGGAGCACAGCTACACATCTAGCAGGATGAAATCAAAATTGAACCCACAACATTTGGATTGAAAGGCGGCTATACCAGCCGAATCAGGTACCCAGAACCTTCCATCCCATCAAAAGGTACTCTGTCTCCTTCAATGCATTCTTGACTTGCCTTTTTCTTTTTTTTCTGGCTTGTCCGGTTCAATCTCCTCAGCAATCATGGGATCCTCCTCTCCGTTGTCCTCTGCTTCTTCATAGTCCCGCACCGCTCCACGGCTGACTATAGGCATCCTCTTCTTCTTGTTCCGAATGGGACGGTAGTCCGTGTCATCCATGCGAGCGATTTTGTGCATGGCGAAGCCAAGATACATGATTGTGGGAGTGGTGATCATTATCACCTGAAGAAAGAAAAGGCACAGGTCAGAGGGGAAAAGAAGCACCAAGTCAGACTCCTTTATATTGGACAGGCTACCTGAAAGATCCAGAATCTGACATGTGAGAGTGGAGCAAAAGCATCATAGCACACATTCTCACATCCAGGCTGTTGGGTGTTGCAAACAAATTTGCTCTGTTCATCATAGTAGATGGTTTCGCCACCAACGGCTGTCAGCACGATGCGGAAAATGATCAGTACAGTCAGCCAGATCTTCCCCACAAAGGTGGAGTGGTTTGAGATTTCATCCAGCAGACGTGTCAGGAAGCTCCAACTCATGGTGCCGAGGAAACCAGAGCACTAAGTCAGATCTGTGGGAGAAACAATGCTTCAATATGAATATTCATGTCTTTTCTAACTAACAAAACAAACTGTTTCGCAGGCTTTGTGCTGATTCTGCTTCCTTTTTTAGGTGTATAACATTGCAAGAGAGAACAGAGTATGAAGCTATTTAGAACTGATGCAACATGCTTTCCGCAATTAATTCCTACCGTTCCTTCTGAAGTCAACCCTTTGTATCAAGACCTCAAGTGTTAACATGTCTTAACAGATGTTTACTGATCTGATATACTTCCACGCAAAAAAAGTGAGGGGGAACTTATACCAAGGCTCTCACAGTAATAAGCTTGCGATTGGTCTCTCCACCTCACTACAACAATCGATCGGATTTCAACAGACCTGATTATACTTGTCGACTTAGCAACAGAGCTGAATTAATTCTGAAAATTGCTCATATTCAAATAAACTGGAAACTCCAAGACCGAGTTAAGCAGCCGACCTTCATGTCCCAGATTTGTTGAGCGCAAAGGAAGTGAGACCACTGACACCAGTGGCTTCATGAAAGCAGCCTGATGTAGAGAAACTGACCACAAGACTGAAGTATCCTTCAGCCCAGTATGTTGAGCTACCACTTCAGCGAGTTTGCTGCCAGTACTTAATTTCACATTAGGAACAAGAATCTATGAACTGAAATAAAGAGGAAAAATGTGTTCTTATAGTCCATTTGTAACAGTTATTGAAAAATACATTTCAGTCCATTGGAACCACTGTTTATTTCGACTGCATTTGGACCATAGTTGGAGCTAAACACTTGTGGTTTCCAGCCATGAAAAACTTGCCACTTTAGCTGGTCGGCTGGATGGATAATTGAAGTTTGAGTAAATAAGACAATGAGAATCTTTTCAGTTACATAGAAAGTCCTCATCCCACCCAGGGATTCTCTACCAACACCACTTAGATTTTGAACAGCATAGACTAAAGTATGAACTGTACAAAGAATTTTGGTTTAAAAGTTTAAACCCATCCAATAGTTTAATTCTAAGGAAAAAAAAAACTTCTACTATTTGGGTTTTTTACATGCCCTATGACACCAGTTACTTGGAATCAAACGGGGTTTAATTGCAAGTGACCAATTGCAGCTGGTCAATAAATTTAGCTCCAATAATTTCAAATTCTGACCAGACTCCAAATCTAAAACCAATTAGAAATATGTACATAGCTTTGATACATCAGTATATTCTTTTATTTGGAGGTTATTGCTCACCTTGTTCTTTTGATTCTAGTCACCATGCATTTTTACTTAGATCGTTAGATTCTAAAAGAAAGGTCTCAAGATAGTTTTCAGTTTGAGAAACCCCTGAAGTTTATAAGAAAGTTATTTTCACCCAGTCCTTTGGTTTTAAGTTGCTTTTCTAAATTACGCCTTGGGAAATTATTCTAATAAAATCCATTTGTCTCTACACATTTTTTAAGATCCTTAACCGAGAAATCTGGCTTTGTTTTGCCAGCCTATAAAACTTAAATCTGAATATTTGGGGGTTTTAATCGTCTTGTTGGACAACAGAAGTACTTGGAAACAAATTGTTGTTTTCCCTCCCCATTTTCTAACACTTTATAGACCACATGAATAACAGAGCAAAGAATTTGTTCCCAACCATTACTCAGCTAGATTTATAAGCAATGCCATTACTCAAACACCCTTAATTGGGGTTATAAAATACCCCAAACAACATCAAACTTTGAGCTTTACAC